AAAAAAAAAAAAAAATGCGTACAAAATTGTTATGAATTCGATATGCTTGTTCTTTGAAAATCTCTACAAACCAGAGATGCGATAATAAAATTGTGTTCAGACCCCATAAGGCCTACTTGTTGGGCTTGATACAACACCTCTGAAAGTATATTGAATGAACAGTCTAATAGTATTTTAGTTTCTCCCGAATCTTTTATTTCTCGAAGTTCTTTTCTAAAATCATACCACATAAATAACCTAAGTATTGACCGCGTCAAATAGTTAATTTTATTTAAATATAAGTAGAAACTTATACGTGTTTTCTAATAGTTATGCATTTAAAAAACCGTTAAATGTAATATAATCTGGACGTAATATATTATTTAAAAATCTTACAATTTACCTATAATTCGGTCCTGAACTGAGTTGTCGTATACGAATCGGATGGTTAGTCGGAGGAAACTTCAAAATATTAGTAACTTGCATAAGACTGTCGTTATTTTCGTAGATTATCGTAAAACTCTCCCAATTTATAACTGTCATTAAATCGACGAGTGCCTGTTGAACAGTTTATTATAATACATGTTTTAACATAATATAATTATTGAAATATTTGTATGTATAGTATTCACTTTTGATAATGTGCTCGGGTGTGGATACAGGTTGATTTGACAAGAACCTCGTTTTTGGTTGATGTCCCATCGGGTTTGTATGTGAGGGATTTCTTTGTAATCACAAATGGATTGCACGATTGGAGCCGTGTCACCGAGTGACGGGCCAAACATGCCAGATACCCCATTGATTAACATATCACATACTTTACAAATAATCATAACATTTAAGCATTATATACAATTTTCATGTTTTACAAATACCGTTTATACCAAAATTTTGAGTCTCGAATGAATCGTAGAGAGGAACTGTTTGACCAATGACGTTCAGCTTCACATCACTTGTTGCTATTTTTGACTTGACAACATCTACGGATGACTTAAAAGCTGTTTCTAACATTGAGTTTTCTTCATTGTACAATATCCCTATTTTATTTAATTTTAACAATTTTTTTAGTCTTACTTGTACAGGTGCATAATTTCAATATTTAATATACGTATCCCTAATTTTTTACGTTCAAAAGAGAAAATTGTATTATCTATACCTACCTCAATTTGTATTATGTATGGGAACTGTCAATTATTTTTATTTTTCAATTGTTAATTTTATGAAATTTGTTATTCACCATCGAACTAATTATTGCCCTAACTAGGAAAAATTGATATCAAGCTTACTTTTGTGTAGGCAACTGTTTAAATTCATATTTGTTATCTAGTATTGTACTACCAACTTCTGAAATAATCTAATATTACCTCAAATTTGTGTTACACGGTTTTTTATTTGTAACAATGTATCACCTATCTAGTTTTAAAATATGAAGGATTGATACTTGTAGATTTGTATGCAGTGGTCATTATGTCAATAGATTCGAAATAAATACGAAATTTTATTAAACGCTTTAAGTAAGATACATAATTTAATTTTTGATATCGTTTTTAATACCCCTTGTGTTATAACCACAAATGTTTACCAATGACTATCTTATTTTACAAAATCAACGCAATATTGTGACGTGGTGAATTCGACTCGTTATGTTTAGTAGGTATTGTGAGCGCTAAAACGTGGTATTTTCTAAATTATATTACGTTTCATTCCACACAGTACTAAATTTAGAACGGTGTCTTTGTATCTTTACAACAGACGTAGAATATCAGCTCGGTGAAATAAGTTGAATCGTATTTCAAAAAACAATACGATAAGTACTAGTGTTAACATAATATTTCAATAAAACATTATTGATTAAATCGTATTCCTCGGTATCTAATAGATTTTATGCGAAAAATTATAAACGTACATGCGTCTTACATAATATTGTCTATAGATTAGTGATTCGTTGTATAGTAAACAACTGTTAATTTTTAGCCTAACCTAGCCTATTTATTGTCATAACGTTTGTGCTTAAATCTTATAGTCATTTGATTAGCGCATGGTAAATAACATTGGTAGGTACGTTATAACAACAATCAAAACATCGAATTTCTTACCTAATGTGATTGTTGTTTCACCGGCACATTCTTTACAGGTAAAAGCTAAAATCAAAGACACCAAACCAATTATGTAGTTCATTCTAAACACGATTTTAACACGAATAATAACATTTGCATTTCCAGATAAAATATGTAAACAAGTTGGAGAATAATATTACGATATAACCTCACGTTCTGGCGGATACTTGACATATGGCTATGTTTTTACTCTCCTGGCACGGTTTGAGTTTCGATATTATTTTTAGTTCATTGCATTCACACGGGAGAAGCGACAAATAAACAAATTATCTAAAACAATTTAACGTATTGTATTTTATCAAACCATTAAACGTTTATCTATTTTTAACTTTAATTTTTGCAACTATTACCATAAATTCGGCCACACCCGATAGATTACTAAAATTAAAACGAATATTTTATAACATAATTTCGCACGAAACAGAAAAGGTTAAAATTTTAAAAAATTCGTAGAGAACGAGAATGTTTACGCTATAATGATATCTATCTGCTATTTTTAGTATAATTTATTGAAAATTAATTTTCCTGGCATTAATTGTAACGGATAATTTTATCGTGTATCTACTTAGATAAGTACCTATATTATTACATTTTAGATGTGGTGCAATTTTCAAAATATTCTATTGGTATTTTGACTTGGTTAAGTGTGGATTAATTTTTTTAATAAAAGAATGTTTATATATTCTACATTTTCAATTCCATTCCATCGTATCTTTTATGACTATAATAATCCTTTGGACCGCATTGCCATAAAATGCAATGATTAAAAAAACTTTAATTTGTTTTGTACATGATAATTACATTTTTTAAGCCAAGTTTTCTTGATATATTTATGAAATATTTTTAATGCTACAGATTTTTATCTACTTTTTGTTATTATTACTTTAATATTATTATGTAATTATATTATAATGTATTTTATGCTGTAATACTATTTAATATATAGTTAAGTTCGATTAACGTAGTTTACTTTTATTGTACTTCAGTCTACAGACGTTTATAAAATAAATAAATAATGTTACTTAATTTATATCTGTTTTAATATGATGATATATATTCTACCATAACCCATATTTCAATCAAACTATAATAAAATAATTTTTTCGCTGTATTTTAAATCTAGTTTATGAATAAGTAAGTCGTGTTTTAATTTTTTAACTAGTTTTCATAATAATTGGAGGAAACCGACAAATACTTAACATACAAATAAACAAATTTACAGGGTTAACAATTATAAAATTTAAAATTTCTTCCAATTTTTCTTCTACTAGAAATCAAAATTTATAAGTAGGATTTTTTTCTGAACGGAAATTTTGTCTTGTTAATAAGTAAAAACGTCGTATTTTGTTTCTCCGTGCGATTTTCTTAATAATTGAGCAAAACCAGAAAAGGACGTAGGAAGAACTGTCAAGTTTACAGAAATAGCGGTTACATTATTTATAATTTTGTTGTAATTCAATTAAAAATAATTATGAAGACCTGAAATTTTCCCAGAATACTTATGTATGAACTTTTTTAGACTTTATAATATTTCCAAAACATTGTTATTATTTTTAAACTATTTGTAAGAATTTGAAATTTTCTAGATTTTATTTGGTATAAGTATTATATGGACAAAATTGTTTGTGTTAACAAAAATGCTTGACAATTTAATACAAGATTAATTTAAGTTGAACTTAGTGATAATAAGAAATAGTTGAGCGATACGAAGTAGTTTTTTATTTATATATCTCTATATATATATATATATATATCCGTAAATGTAAAATACAGGTAAATTTTGAAAAAAATGACTGCATTTCAAATCATATACAATTGATTTTCGCTCAGAATCGTGATTCTATACGTATAGATATAGCAATAGTTAATTATTGAGTACAAATATAAATTAAATAATTTTATATGTCCTACCTTCCAAGTTCCTATCTACAACAGTGACACAATCGGTTTCGATATTAGCTTTATTTTTATTATTTGTGTTTTAATTCCTATTTTAACTTAAACACCACAATTTATGTTCTAATTAACGAATTTTGACAATGTACTTGTTAATCAGTCAGTAGATGTGGGTTTGGTGTCTTTTTCATAAAACATAATGAATTATACAGGACCAGTATATTACCTATTATTTTAAAAAAAAAATTACTGACTCTTAAAAATAAAATTACTTAATACAAATTGGAAAGTTGAATATCATTCATAATAAGCACATTTTTAGTTAAACATTAATTTTAACATTTTTTTACTAATATTATTTATTTAAATTTATGAGTATAACTCGGAATAAAATTGTTTAATCTACAATAAATTATCCAAATAGTTATACAAAATGTACATAATGTAATTAGTATAAAAAAAAAAAATAATAATATTAAAATTCAAGACTACATAAACATTATAGTGTAGCCTTCTTAGTAGTAGGATTCCAGGATTGCATATGATATCTTATATTACTTTCTGTACTTTGTATGGTATTTTATAATCTGAAAGAAATAAATAATGCAATTTAATATTTAATTGTTTTTCAATTACATAGTTATGCTACATGTAATGCATTTTTCCGTACCCTTTCTTCGACCGCTATTTTTCTTGATTTCCATACAAACTCAAAAACGGCGACCACACAAGCTACGCCCATTCCACCCATCAGTACAACAAATACTCCACCGACGTTAGCAAGACCCAATTCGTTGGCGGCGCTATTGGACTTTGATGTATCGTCCTAAGGAAGGATTAAACTTAAAGATCGTTGGTTTAATAGACTCAAAATTGTTTTCTTAAACATACCCGACAAGCACCGCCTCCTCTTTTCTCTTTCCACCACTTTGTTTTCAGTTTATGCAATTTACCGATTTCCTGAAGCTTTAATACAGCTCCACTGATTGCTGTTCTATAAGGAGAATCTAAAAAAATTAAACCAAGAAAATATTAAAACTAAGAAAAATTAGGATATAGTTCAAGAATACTAACTCGGAGGCATAGCTATGCCGTATCCTTTCGAATCCAGTAGGCCACCGACTTGTGTTAGCTCACAATTTCTTTCAATTACATATTCGATGCTAGTGGATTCCATTAAAAACGCGTAGTTCCCTTTGCCCTTTACAACGCGTTCAACGCCTTCGTTATTAGAATTCATAAATACGCTTGGTTTGGCTGATTCCATAAATGACCACATCCTTTGATAGGTTATAAAGTTTGATTCCTTAATGTAATAATAAATAACTCATTAAGTAAACAAATGTTGTAAAACATCTTTTTAATGAATTTTACTTTGAAAAATGAAGCAGTTGAACCCCCTTGAAGTGCACCATATTTTATTTTTGTTTGTTTGGCGAGATCTTCAGCACTCTCGATTGGTGAATCCATTCTTTCCACAGTTAAAAACGCTGCTAAATTTGCTGTATATGAAGAGATCATGATAAGCGTGAAAAACCACCACATACCAGCAACTATTCTGGTAGACACAGCTCTAGAGTAAAATTAAACGAGTATTTTATTTAATACAGTTGTATTACTTATTTTCTTATTTGAAGAAAAATAAAATAAACTACGTGAAGTAAACTAATAAATATATTATTATTATATAAACTATAGATAATAAGCATACACATTCAAAATCGAATAGGTACATTGAGATCGGCTCTCTTAGCCAAAGGATACGGTTGCATGCAAATACTTACTTTGGAGCCATATCAGATCCTTGTTGCATCAGAGAGCCGATCGTAAACCATAATGAGTTGTTCAAGGAAAACTTGTTTTCAAAAACATCCGGTGCTTCGGAGTTGCAAGGGTGTGGATTTTCCCATTCATATGGACTAAACCTAAACATAAAACATGCATATTCTACAGAAGCTTGCATTGGATATAAGTTTATCCCAGTATTTAATAGGTTAAATATGGCTGAGAGGACTCTTGTGTGGTAGGCGTGTATAATATTTAGTCTTTAGGCTCAAATAGCATTGCATCATATTACATACATTGATACATTGATTCTATTGATTTTATTCCATTCAACGGTTTTTCTTACTTGGGAAGTATATCACAGCCTTGTTGCATCAAAGAGCCAAATGCAAACCACATACAGTTCATCAGAGAAAATTGATTTTCAAGATTATCTGGATCTGGATTACACGGATGGGGATTGTACCATTCATATGGTGTAAACCTTACCCGTTAAAACCACATGTATGTTATTGTTTTTTTATCCAAGAAATTGTATTTATTAGATTATTTTTAAATTTGTATTTTACGTGCGTTACCTGGCTAGTATATATAGAAGAACAGATACGCCGAGATATGCAGTTGCCATATAAATCCATACGTCCAACGACAAAGGTGACAAAAACGAAAATAGGTTCGGTGGTTGTTTGATTGGTTTTCGGTAAAGAATACTTATACCTAAAATCATATTTTAATTTACACAATGTTTATTACATATGATACATACAACTTAAATATATATATATATAAGTTGTTTTATGGTTTCTGAAAATTCTTACCTAAATTCATGAATGGCATAGTAAAATCTACAGCTTGTTCACGGTCATAAGTAATAGTTAAATCGGCTACCACTAAATCTGCCCTCTAAAATAATATAAAAATAGTTATATATGATCAATTTTTTTTTTTTAATTAACACCAGTTCAGACGTTTTGTTTATAGAAATAGAAGTAACAAGGTATATATTAAAATATATTATAACAAACAATATAAATGGACAATCTGATAATATAAGATCTATAGGACCAAGAACTGAGTAGCTATGATGTATTATTAATATTAGTGAGCATTTGAAGCGATTGCTGCCTTAAGCAGTTGAGTGAAAGAGAACGCGAGAATGTCCCTGGTAAATTAGGTAAGCAAGGGGACTAAATACTAGCGAGGAGGACGGAAGTATCAAATAAACCATTCAAAAAGGATGAAATGAAGCTAATTTCAGCAGTAATATCGTATTCAGAAAGTATTTTATTACCAAGAGATTGACGGACGAATGAGTAGTCATAGAAGGTATAGCTCATTTTTAATAACAAGGTTGTATAAGAAAGGAATTCATAACGGATTCTTTCAATGCGCAATTGGTTCTTCACAAAATAAGGATGCCAGATTCCTACCCTTTATTCCAACATTGAACAGTTTGAACCCGTGAGAAATATAAAGAATGGAGAAACCTAGCCGAAGATCACACTTTAGTGAACCGTGTAATAAACTCTAGAATCACAAAGACTTTACAAATATTCAGTACCTTAAGTGATGGTCAAAACATAACAAAGAAGAGTAGAAATATCGAGGTCTTTGAAAAAAAAAACACATCTATAGTGGGAACTTCAGAAAACTGCTAAGAAAAATTAATAGAAGCATTATAGAATTTATAGAAAAGTTCAACACACGATACTTATTGATATTGAAATAAAATCTTAAGTATTGGACACAAAAAGAAAAGAAATTTAGTTTGGACTGAAGAACAACTTTTATATGAACCGATTTCAAGGAAAACTTAATAATATCATCAGCAAAAAAGAAGAATAGTGGATATTATGTCTCTCTGAATCAATTTTTTAAATTTAAAATGTACTTGTTGTAAAAGTTCTCCCATCATTCCGTCCCATTCTTTCGTTTCCTTACTATAGGAACCATAACGTCCATCTGGGACAAGTTTTAGCGTATAATTAAAACGTAACAGTTTGGCTATTTCGTATATCAAATCTATCGCGTAGCCTTCGAATTGATCGTTCCCTACTAGTTTTTGACTGGATTCACGTCGCATTGTATATGGCGAGCTCTATAAAAAAAAAAAGTAAAGTGAATAGTATTGTTGATAGTCAATATATGTATGCATTAAGTTTAATAACTTACAAGTATCAAAGTGACAACTAATGTTTTATTATGAAGATTATCAACGATATTTGAATATGCTTCAACAAAAGATCTAGTGAAGTTTATCCCTTGGCTGGAATTCCAAGTACCAATCTTAGATAGTCCTTCTTTGTTCACTTCGACCACGTCTAACTCGAAATCTGTTCTAAATCCCTGGTTATCAAATTTAATGACTCCCGTTAACCCACTAATTTCTACCTATAAATAATAAAAAATATTAAAAGCCGTCATATATTAAAATGCCATAATGTTCCAATTACTATTTTCATATAATTTATCAAACTGTATCCGTGTGGCCATGTATCAGAGGCGTCACAGCTCAATGGTTTTATATCAATTTTTTGACTGCTGTCCAAATCATGTAGAGCTCTCGCAAATAGATGAACAGCGTCATAAATTAAAGCCGTTTCGGTCTAAACAGACAAATATTATACTATTAGAAGAAAGATGTTAATTTACGAAAATAATGCGCCTCTTCATTTTTCTTACCGACATGATAGTGAAATTTTCTCCCTGAAATAACAAAATAAAATGTAATATAATAATAATTTGGGCTTTCTTCTAAAATAATTAATATATTTTATTTTGAAATTAATTTCTAATTAATAGTAATTTTTACTTATTTAAATCGTAAATGAATAACAGAACTCTGCAAAACAGTATACATAATAGATCAAATCAATATAAATGAATACCCGTACGAATTCTTATTTAACTATCCATACATTGTTATGTATTATTAATGTAAACAATTAAAGGCAAAAAAGTGTATTTAAATACATTTTGATTTTTTTTTCATTCAATGAATTTCCACAAAATGTAATCTTTTAAACAGAAAAAATGTAATATTATTTTACTACACCATATACATTAAATTTCATCAAACCCAATGATTTTTATATTTTACTTATTTTTCTTGAAAGTATTGCAAGACAAATTTAACGGAAGAAAGACAAGTTTTCTCGTTAAAAAAATATTTTTATTGTAATCTTGCTCTAATTATCAAATTCAAGGGCGTTTACTAGTATACTTTTCTAAACGTAGTAAAATATGGTTAATACATCATAGCGGTTTTTGAATTTTTTATAACTAAGTATTTAAAATGTTCATATTTTTTTTTTTTTGTTTTATATAGATTTCAAATTTTAAATACCTACTTGATAATTAATCGATAATTAAAATCAATAATTTGATAAAGGGGTTTCCATAAAACAGTCTTTTAGTAAATATAAAAATATCGAAAGTTTTATAGTAAAATATTTTTTAAATATTCATATGAAGTTGCCAGTTTAAATTTCTGCTCAATGCTCTTTATGTACAATAAACATTAGATATCATATTTAAAGCGTTTAAATAGCTGTGTTATCATGTACCTCGAATAGTTGTATCACATATGGTACAAAATTAGTACCTAACTATTTTAAAGTTTATTCAAAATTTGCTTCTGGATTAAAAAGTAATACATAATATCCACTCACCCATTGTTTGAGTACTTTTTGCACCATAGGTGTATCGGGATTGACTAATCGAAAACCAGTGATATTTGTGCCACCATATTTGAACTCGTCCAGATCGATGATGTGAAGGTCCTGTAAATTAAAAAGAATTTAAACACGGTCGATGATTACCTGAAAGCTATAACAATCACTAAAAATCTTACCAAAGACGTGATCAAATAGCTGTGATAGTCACTCATCATTCCGATTTGTTGTGCTTGTTTTAATACGTCGTAAATTTTTTCAGTCGAACAGTCTAACACGATGTGCGATTCCGCAGAATTTTTTATCTGCTTCAAAAGAGGTCTGAAAAAAGACGATTAGTTTTCGATTAATACTATGTGATAAACAAAGCACGTATATTATGCCATATCGTGCGATTTTTACCTGTGGTCTTTTCCGGTCCCCAATTGTCGTATTGTTATCGAGTACGCTGACAGTGCGGCGTTCCTGGCTTTTAACAATTCCTGCAATCTTACGAGGCCTTCGTTGCTCTCGTATATTATCGTGAAAGACTTCCATCCCCATGTTTTCACCAAATCTAAATAAGCCTACGGTGGTGACGGGCAAATTGAAAACATCACTAATCTTCTGATAATCCGGCAACGCCGTAGGTAATATATTTTTGTACGCACAGCGCATACAATAAAGCAATATTAGCATATACGTTACTTTAGACAGTATAGTGGGATGTGGGTAGAGGTTAACCAAACAGCTCTCGCGGCGCAGTTTGTAGTCCCACCGTGTCTCCAAATGGGGTATTTCCATTGTATCGCAAATCGACTGGACGTGACTGGATATTTGGGCCGACTGAGGGCCGAATACTGCAGCGACGCCGAGTCTGAGCAGACTGCATACTGCGAACAGAAGAACAAGGAAGAGTCACGACTCCATGATATTTGTTTTTTTTTTTTTTCGGAAAAAACATAATACGTTTTTCAAAATATGTGTGTGTGTGTGTGTGTGGTATAATCAAAATTGTTATCGTACCCCTCTTGGACGCGTGAAAACTGTCTTGTGACGATACTTTTTCAATCTGTCCGGACAAATTGGACCTGCTAAGTATATGACGGTTATCGTTCACGTCATGGATGGCGTGTTTAAATACATTTTCTTGGTTGACGTCATTTGGATGAAATAAACCTCCTGCCGAGTAAGAATAAAATATACAAGAGATTAAAAACAAAAGTAAAATTGTCTTTGTATGCGAGAATATGAAAGTAGATAGGTACAATTTACAAATAAAATATATTTATTTGACAATAACTACCTACCCTAAATAGTGAGTATATAATATATATTCTATATTTTCAACTACCACAACAGTGGATGATACCCATATGCAGTATCGGTTTTTCGGATTTTAAATAATTACGGTCGGATAGAAATCAAATTAAATTTGCAATGGTATTCTTGAAATGCGACTGAATACCAAATATAATATTTTATCAGCTAATATTGTAACACACTGGATAGGTAAATAATTAATTGGAATTAAATCCGTCACGACAATGAAGTCAATCGATAATTGATTGTTAAACCAATTCAATTTCGAATAAACATGTTTGTTTTTAAATTGATTTTTCTGAAGCGCCATTTAAATAATATAACAAGGGGGAAAATTATTTTTCGACAATCAAAACATTCTGTACTTATTTCCGGTATATTTTTAAAGAGTCTTTAAGTTATTTATGAATAATAAGTATTTTAACGAGAGTGTTTAACAAGAAGAGAATTATTAATTTTAAATAGATATAAAATCGATTAACAACCTTTTCGGTTAGGTTTTATAGCAAAAAAGCTGTCCAGTCCAGCTTTGCTCGTGTAATAAAAAAATTCCTGAATAATGTTAATAGATAAATTATCATTGTATGCTATTACCGTGAATGCCCGGACAACAAAGGGATTACACTACGAAAATCAATAACAATGTTTTTTTCGTCCGTTTCACCGAGGTTACCCATAAATCAACAAAAATAATTCGATTTTTATACTAAAAATACTTAAAAACCGAATAAAGCACAAACACACATGCATTCGTTTTCGTTCATGTGCATAATATTTATTATTGAAGAAGATCGATAATCGTAATATAATAAATGTCATATTTGTTAGTTTTTTCAAGTGCATTTGTTTATTATATTTTTGTTTATATTTACTCTAAAACCATTTTTGTAACTGTCGTAGTATTATCAACGTGAAAATAATCATAATATTGTGACGAGATAACTCTAAATTGTATTATTGATGGTTAAACGAGCGTCAATCGTTTTCACCAAATCCATTTCAACCTGCATTATTGTTTGATGACCGTCAGTCATAATAATAATCGATCTGCTATCGGTGGATGCCGGAATTCGGGATAAATCATTTGGTATTGAAATACATAAGCTACCTACCTACAATAAACGTATGATAGTACGTATGCAATATTTAAACAAAAAACTTGTTAATACTTCAAACGTACTTGGCGAATATCTCAAAGAAAACTGTTTCTGGAATGTAATTTTTTTTAAAAAAAGTATTCAACCAATATGATTCTAAATATGAAATAATATATGTATATTAAAATGCTGGTGTGATTTATAGAATTTTTATACATTGTTTATCAAATTTGTAATACAAATTTAATTATCTGAACTTGAATCTAACATGACTCTAACAATAAAAAGACAAAAAAAAAAAAAAGAAAAAGAAAAGAAAAATAGTTTTTGCGAATCGAGACATTCGCCGCTTCACGGTGGCCTCTGGGTAACTTTAAATGGTGCACAAAATATCATTTGAATAGCTAGAAAAACATTTGACGTAAATAAAAATCGAACTTTTTCGTTTTTTCGGAAAATCAATTCCATGCGATTTTAATACATTTAAATTTGAGAGACGGTTTCGTTTGTGTGAAATACAATCGCGATGAATCGATGTGACAATATTATTAGGTACTCGTCGATAAAACGCGCAACAAACTATATATTTTGTATGCCTTAAATATAAAATACTAACAATGCGAACGCCCGTCGCGTGCCGCATAATAATGGTAACGAATAACAATATTATTGTAATAATAATAATAATAATAATTGATAATGCGCAGATGCACAATACATACCGATTCTAATCGTGTCCGGAAGCCCTGACGCGCGGTACGTCGAGCAAACAAAACAATATAAAATCCAAAATGGTGTTGCGGTCGGGCACTTCATCTTCGTCGCGGGAAAACGTCTAGTGGTTAGAAAAAGGCGAGGGGAAAACAAACAACATCGAAATCACCCATAAACCGAGACAATGGACAGCACGCGCAGCCTTTTATTATGATTTGTTATTGGGATGCGACGGAATTATCCCCGACGACCGGACAAGTGCTCGTCGAGTAGTTCACTGAACGCCCGGTGGAGAATGTTTCGCACTCCGTTCGCATTTTGGCGCTCGTCGGTCTCTGCGGAAGCTGTGGCCTTAGCCGTCGCGCGCCGTCGTCGTGAGTCCCTCACTGTTTTTCCGCCTGCACTGTCACCAAACTCGCCGTTTACGCTGATATTTTGAATAAAAGAATATGCGATAGAAATAAAAAAAAAATTTAAAAAAAAAAACGAAAAATTCCCCCCCCCCCCCTCGTATGTGGGGCGTGACAAGTGATTTTTATTTATCGATTCGTTTTCTTTTTTACGCCATTAGTTTCGCCCTTTTAAATATAAAAAGATATGGGGTATTTTTTTTTAAAAAAAAAAAAAAAAACGCCATGCACTCAGTAGTCGCGCACGAGTGAATGCGTTTACCGTCGGTGTGGACGAACTTGATATCGACACTGGAAATGGGAAAAATCGTCGCAAGACGAATAAATAATAATAAAAAAAAAAAAACCCAGCGATTCCGTAATATAGCATCCCAGGACGGAGACCGTAGAAACGTGTAATTTACGACCGTTCGGAGTCCGAATGTTTTCGGGAAAACGGTGCGCTTTCTTTACAGGAGCCTCGGTTCGGTTGCCAGGCAACGCTACCGGATTATAATCGATCCGGCAGCCGTCCAGACATTTTCCGCGGTGCACAGCATGTATGCGCATAGTATACACGTCGCGCCGTTCTCCTGCACACCGTTTCGTCTGATATATTATACGGAGAGACGTAGTAATATATAATATTGATATATGTTACAAACAAATATAGAGTGTGAAGAAACAGTTGCAAAGGTGATTTGTGATTTGGATACCTGCTAACGATAACGTGTCTACGCAATATTATTCATTCGTGCACGGAGAGTTGCACCGAGACTAAAAATAGTTTGATTCGCGGTTTTTTTTTTTTTTTGTTTCTATTAAAATACACATTTTTATTAAACGCGTTATTAAAATTTAAAAAAAAAAAAAAAAAAAAAACAACGTTTAATACCCATGGGTGTGTCACTGTTAGAAAGGAGAATATTACTAAGTAATTTAATTTTTATCTGCGTGTACGTTCGGTACAGTGTACTCAATGGTATACCGTTTCTAATAACAAACGTTTTTGATTATTAGTCGTATTTACACCTTGTTGCCAAATAATCCAAAAAGTAAAATAAAATTAAACCAACAAAATTACCGGTTTTTCGTATTTGTAAAGAAAAACTATGTGGAATCAAGAATTACTTCCGCGAAACAACAACTAGATCAAAAATGTTTCAATACAGTTTTTATAAAGATTTTTATTGAAGCTACATTACATGTAGAAGAGTTGTTTACAGACACGAAAAATAAAAATTAAAACACATCATAGTAAAACTAATACATTTTTTTGTTTTGCTAAAAATCTAAAATAGTAATTAAATAGTATTTGAAATAATAATTCTAAGAAAGACGAACAGTGAGAAATTAACAGTAAAAAAAGATAACTTAACTCAATAAATTTGCATTTTAAATTATGTACATACCTAAGTTATTTTAGGTTATATTTAATATGCATAGTAAATGTGAATTAGATTATATTACGTGTCAATGAAAGTATTTTCGTTAACGTTGTCTGATATTTTATTGTTTTGGACGATAAAATAAGAATACTGCTATTACCTGCAATAATTATTCAAGCATTTAACACATTAAAGGTGTGTAGGCGAACGTGACATGAATGTTTAAAAATAATTCACTCAATTTAATGAGTCTTCAGGGGTATTTAAAACCCGATATTCCTTGTGAAAACATAAAATTTCAACATGAAAAATAGTTAGAAAGAGAGTTGAAAGTTTAAATCCCAAAAGGCTCGTATCTCATACTTTCACTATGTATGTACAAAAGTTCATTCCCCTGACTTCATATCTATAGGAGAATACAAGGCTAAAACACACCGTCCTCCCGTGCAACGACATGGTGAATTTTCATATTAAAATTTCACTGAAATTGTATCACAAAAAAACTCTAGTTCCCGAGTTTAAACCGATTTGTAGGACTGGACTGATACCGATAACCGATAACCGTTATTAATATCGGTCGATATTGGCTTATAGCCTTGCAAAAATCTAAGATATTTTGATATATCACATAATTTATATCGGTTAACACCGATCATGTGTCCTACAAAGCTATTCAAATGCTAATAAGTAATAAATCTGTCGATATTCATTTTTTTTTTTTTTTTCATTTTTTTAAATCGTGTTTTGTATATTATTTTATCACTTAATCACTGAATGAAAATAACTTTATTTGTTCACTTTTTAAAATTACTAATTTATAAAATAACTTACTTAATCTAATATGATATTCTTTTAATGTGCCATACGTACAAATTCAATTAATAGTTTCTTAGTTATAGCCGTTTTAATTTCTAGAAAATTGGTGTGAAAACAATTAATTTTCAATAGAATAATACGTTACGCGATCAAGAATCACAACCAGCGCGGTAATTCCTTATATATTATTGAGTATTAATTGTTTTCACGCCTGTTTTCAATACATTACAGCCGCTATAACTACAAAACTATTGATCGGATATGAATGTATGATACGTTCAAATTTTGAAAATAACATATTTTAATGGCTATTTTGAAAATTTTAAAAAATGAAAAAAGTCATTTTTTTAGTGACTAAGAGATGAAAATAAAAATTTAATTTTTCTCTACATTCGTGTCCCCGTGACAAAAAACCCAATTGAGAAAAAAAACAATGAAAATTAACAGATTTATTAGCATCTGTATACACTATATGACACTTTGTATGTGTAGGTAAGTGTTTTTTTTTTTTTTTTTTATATCGGGTCCAAGGAAATAAAATATTGAATCGGTTATCGGTTTTACATCGGCAATATCTATCGGAGTATCGGATTTTGGAGAAAAGTGATAAAGATTCAGCTCTACTCATTTGGTCTGAATGAAACCACAAAAAGTGTCCAAAAAAAGTGAGGGAAAAATATACACGAGTATAACAAACACAATACAGTACACTACAGTCCCCATTTTCGGGGAAAATTACAAAAAGATAGAATGCATTATTTAAACGTATGGCCTTTTGAATATTTTTCTTCGAATAAAATTATTTATAAATATACATAATAAATGAACTCTAAGGTAGGTAACGCACATTCATGAATAAAATATACGTAATTGAAATTGAAAAAGTCGGTGCATGGAAAGATTGAATTCAGGAATAAATTCGTTTTAAATATTTTTATCAGCGGTAAATCATTGTATAAATATACAATTCTGAATAGAGGTCAGATTTAATATTAAGATGTTCCAGTGAATATTGTCTTATTATCTGTTTTCAGTTTCAATATAATCAAACTGAAAAATTCAGTGGCGGCTCGTGGCTTGAATGGTAGGAAGATCGCACCTAACCTAACCTAATCTAACATGTATAAAATCGAACGAAAGGACAACTTAAAATTTCATTTTAAATTTATGAAAATTGTATTGTTCAGTTGGTTATCATTAAAAATTAGAAAATATTTACAAACAATTTCACTAGATATTAATTTTGACGTATTATGTGTGCAACGCGCGTATAGTTTCATGGGTGTACCAGGATCCCAGAACATTTTTTAGTTAACATTCATTGCGTGTCCAATCCCACTCCTTTAAAAAAAATCACGAGCAAACAGATCAAACCTTTTAAATTTTGGATCTCTCCCAGTTACTCGTTCCGCACCAGTGCGACCTATTCCCTATGTAAAATAAAATATTTTTTTCAAAAAATCTACCTAATAATTCAAAAATGTTATCTATTGTTTTTAATGGACACACACTAAGCAAAATTTTACTCCACTGGATGTTTTTTTGGATTTTACGGAGTGTCCGTTTGAATACAAGAAACCTCATAAAAAAAATATCTCAGCATAGTATTAGTTATCATATTTATGGCACATATTATATTATAATAAATATCAGTGTTGTTAAAGGAATTGATTCTGCGAATCTTGAGTATTTGATAAATTTTGTTTTTTATCTTACGTAATTTTAGATTCTAAATACAGCGAGGAATGCATTAGTTTTACTATAGTGTGTATTATTTTTTATTTATTTACTATTAACGACTTTTCTACCTTCCAGAAATCTTCGTCCAATCTTCAAGTGGAGTATTTTATTCCGAAACAAAATGTTGTCTGGTTGATAAATGTAACGAAATTGGGAAGGTCATTTTTTGATTTTTCGTGTAGATTTCTTAATAATTGGAAAAACTGAAAACATAAAAAAAAAATAGAGACAATTTAGGCAATAAATAATCAGGTTTGTTTTTTTTTTTATTATTGTTATTTATTCAAAATATAAAAAAATGTAGAAATCTGAAATTTTCACTGAGTGTACTTATATTAGCGTTTTCTAAACGTGGTCAAGTTTTCAAAACAACCTGGTGATTTTTTGGCTGATTATAAGCATTTGAAATTTTTAATTTCATTTGTTTTTCTTAGTTAGATTAGATTAAAATTAGGATGAAATTGTTTTGATCAAGTAGAAATGCTCGGAAGTAGAACGCAAGGTTCGATATCAATTAGTAGTTATTAAATAATAGTGATCAAATAAGAAAAGTTGAACGTAACTTAGTAGTTTTAAATTCAAATGTTTACGGAATCAGCAATTTTTCGAATTCGGTGCAGCATATTATTATTATACATAATTATTACTAATTTCTAGTGAACGTAACTAATATTCAAATAATTTTTTTGTCTACAAAACTCTGTACAATAAACTTGTAGGTATTTGCCGACCGCGAAAACATATTTTACTTCCGAAATTCAGTCTGCTTTGTTCAATTAAGAGATGGAAAATATTAATGCATTGGCTTAGTCTACCAGTACGCATAAAGTGTGTTATACATTTTTGTAAATAATAGGTACACCTGCCTGCCTACGTTAGGTAAACATGCTGTTTTATTTGTTTTCGGAATTAAGTATAATATATTAAAATTCACTGCAATGTGAATTATTTTCGGTTTACATTTTTGAAGTTAGGTATTATTATATTCCAAACTGCACATAATATTTGAATCCTCGACGTTACTTTAAAATCAATTATGGCAGTCAATAAAATATGGAATTCAACACTAATCGCTGTGTTTGTTTTTATACCAGTGGATTACACTTGCGCCGGTAAATATACCTGATTAAAAGTGCATTAATTTTGTGATGGTATCGGTGATTTTATTGTTTCCCATACACACATACATACCCACAAATATGATTTGTATTTTAAACGGTATCTACAATATATTTTACAAATACAGACATAATTTTTTTTCATATAGATAATCCGCACGAAATTCAAGTGCTCGAAAAACGAAACAGTGGTATTATTTTTATAACATTTTATTAACAATAGTCTATTATTTATCTTTTTTCATATATCACGTACGTTCAAATCATTTACTCAACAATCGGTCTCGTTTATTTCTTTGTTTTCCAGAATGTGTGGGTAAGATTATTTTGATTGATTTTTCTCATCTAATAATACGATTAAAATTGGCGTTTACTAATATTGATAAGTCTTGTCCGTAACAATTGTTTTTTTTCGTAACTTTGAAAACATATTTTAATATTTAATCAATTAATCGATCAACACAATTGGTTTGGGATTTCGAATTAAAATACAAGCGATGAGCATTTCGCATACCTACCAACCTGTTTTCAAACTAAATGTATTCTTTGTTATAACATAGTGAGAAATATAAAACTAGCCAAGAACAAAAACCTTTTTAATATTCGTGTTTAATGTAAGAATCATTAACTATCCATAGAAATAATTTAAAAGTTTTTCCAACTAATTATAATAGTTTATACTGAAACAATGAAAATATTATTATTAGTTTTATAAAGTTTATAAATTCATTGAATATTATTTAGCGCTGGTATGGGAATTTCTATCATTTTTAACTCCGGAACAAATTAACAATTTAATATAGAATTATGGAAAAGCAGGTTAGTAAATAATTTCATCATTTAATTAATACGGCTGCCAATATAGGGAAACTTGCCGAAAGTGGATTTATATGTGAGTAAATTAATTTGAATTGTTCAAATATGAGGTAATTAACAGTTATTAACTATATTGGCTTAATGTAAATCTAGACCGACAACATTGGGAAGGTCGATGTTTGATTTTACAAAGTCGGAAAAACGGAAAATAATTTACACAACAACGACTTATTATTTTCCCAATTTCTCACTAACAACAGTGGTTCATCCGTGTTGCAAAGTGTATGTCAGCTTAAATTTTGTATAATATTTCTTTGTTTTAGACAGAAAATACGGTTTAGATAACTACACGGTCCTGTTTACTGATTTCAGTAAGTTGACTCAATTATCAATATTTGCTCGTATAGAAAAGAAGGCTACTCATCAACTTATTTATCACAGATATATAGCTTCAAATTTGTTTTCGTTATGTTTCACAAAAATTGTTATCCTTTTGGGCTCATCTGTCTATGTGTATAAACAGAGTGACCCATTTATCATAAAACAGTAATTTCCTTGTAGGATTTTAAATGACTTTCAGTTATTTTCTTTCAATCATTATGAAATCATTTATGCTTTATTTTAACAGTTTTTTCGATTTTTCATCCCTTTTACGTATACCTTAAATGAGTATATACAATTATAACCCACCCCTTTTCTTTTTAACACATGCATATAATTTGTACAAGTTTTAAAGTGTTGACTAGGGAGAATGTAAATGTTATAATTTTATCATCTTAAAATGGATATCAATTTTATTACACTTTTCTCCCTTCCTCCAATCTATATGCTTAACTAATAAAAGTTATAACTCGTGAACGGTAAATATAACATTAGTTGTGTGTGCATATCAAAATGTGTTGAGAAAAATATTATCCCTGCCAGTCTGTGTTTTAAAGCGAGGATTCATATTTGAAAATCAAAAGTGCATAGGTACTGAATTAAGGTATAAGGTGAACAAATTAAAAATATTTTTCAAAAACTGCTTAAACGATTCAATAACTATTGAGAAAAAAAAAACACTAATAAAATTAACTTAAATTCCTCCAAAAAAATGTCTGGTTAATGATAAATGAAACGTTTGTTTATATGTAGGTATTTTGAAATTAAAATTCTACATTCAATTGAGTTTGTAGTATTTACTTAAAAAGAAAACTTTAATCATTTAACTGTTACAAATTCAATACAATTGTCAGATCGAGAGGTAATTTTCGTTTTATTTTCGGCAAAAACAAAAAATTCAACACACATAATACGAATTTAAATGCACACATAAAGATGAAATATGCATAATATATTTAGCTATCCAACTAAATTAAAACTATTGTACGTTTTATTTTTTCTATAGTGTATTATATTAAGTATACTTCGACAAACTACTGAGACATTATTTTTGAAATTCTGAAATCATTTTCGAGTGTAATTATAATTTTCTTCTGAATTTATTTTAGTTCTTAACAATGGTTCCGAATATTACTATACAAATTTGACACTTAAAAGTAAGTAAAATAATATTGCATTAACATTCACAGATTCATTGAAAAATTAATGCATTCGTGACTTAGGTGACTTACGTGAACTTAACAAATTATAATATATTGTGTAAGCAGTACCTAGCAACTAGGTAATACGAATTTGAACTTAGCACATTTTGTACATCAACAAAAATATATATTTTTAATGCATTTAATCGAAGAATATGACGCTTGGCATTCAATACACATGCATATGTAAAATTAATGCGTTCAAATTCGTAAGTTATAATGCGAAAATGGGCTCGTGACTGCATTCGTTTCAAACCCCGAAAAATATCAGCCTCGGTATAGATACGAATGATTTATTTTAACCACACGGTAAACACGGTTTATTTCATTACATTTCTTTGGTGTGTGCTATTTGAGTAAAGGATGTTTGGGCACGAATGATTAAAGATCATAGCACAATCGGGCTATTTTATGGTATATTTGGGTTACAAATGGGCTGTATAGTATATTTGGACACTAAAAATCACTAGATTTCGGACCTTGTCATTTCGCCGTGCCATTTTCCCGATACCTTACTTAAACCCGTCGTGGTTTTTCATCGACTAGTTTCTACGTACGTTTTCAACGCCTACCAGATATTTTGACGGTATGGCAACAACGTAATTTATTGACAAATAATACTATTATTGTAGTCATAGAATAAAATCTAATATTTTTTTCCAGTCGATGATGCATGCAGTCAAGAAAAATGGGGTGGTGAGTGTAGTATATAGTATTATCAAAATGTTGGAAATCATTGCTAGGTACCACTAATAAAAAAATCATTGTTTTTTAGAAATAAAAATAATAATTTTTCTATATTTGTTTTAGAATTTGGAAACAAATACTGCTTATACTTGGTTACTCAGATTTATGAAATATTTCAGAACAATAATGAAACAGGTTTTTTTTTTTTGTTTTTTTTTGTTAAAATAATAAAAAAAAAAGTAGTGAAATAAATAACTTCATAAGAAATAATAACAAATCATGATTACCGACGTTATACAACAACTAAATCAGTTATAAATATGAACGCATAAACTGTATATGTGTATTATATATTCATATATCCACAAAACGTGCATACTGCAATGTCATAATTTAAAAATTTGTTGTCATGATGAGTTTTTCAGTACCTATATTTGATTGATAAACTATTATTCATGTTTATATAAGAAATCAAACAGTTACTTTAAAATGTTTTTTAGGGTCCGACAAAATCTCAGATTATTGGTGTTTTACAAGACTAGGTATGTATACATTTAAAATGGAGGACATAGTGTAACTAAAATGGATTAAAATTAAGGAAAATCCGAAGTATAGAATAGTATATTATTTTTATTGTAATTTATTTTAATTTAAAAAATAAATTCAATGTAAATTTATTTCCTTTATACATAAAAGACATTATTTTAATGAACTGGAATAAACTTAATTCATCATTCTTTTCAAATTTTTCACAACTATTGTTGGTAATCTACTAATACATTTGTACAAGATTTCCTCCGTTGAATGATTGAATGACGAAAACCTCGATATGTAAATTATCTAATATGGAGTATAGTTTTAGGTCAATTTCGTTTAGTGTTTTATTCTAGCAACATATATTATACAGAGTCTTCCAAATGAAAAAAATGTCAACTCCAAAATTGATTTAAACTAATGCTTTGTCTATTTATGGAATGTTTAATATTTAAATAAAGAGCTAATACTGGAGATGGAAGTGGCTACTGTTGTAGGTGAGAATTTGGGAAGGTAGGATACACAAGATTATTATTATTATTTTTTTTTTTTTTTTTGCGATTTTCGTTTAAATTTGATTTCGCAACGCTTATTAAAAAAAAAAAAAAAGTCGTCCAATGATTTTGGAAATTTTACCACGTCTATGTGGGTCCAATATAAATATTATTACAAAGTTTCAAGTTTCTAAGTGTATTTCTAACCGAATTACAGCAAAAAACTCAGTAAAACAAGTAAATATACAATATCTACACAATGTATGATCAATGTACAACATTATCTCACTATAACAAAAAATTAACAATAAACAAATTATGTATTTTATAATTAGTGTACTAGAATTTAACGAATTATCATACGAGTTCGTACAAGTACAATGTTATATGAAATAGTGTCTTCTAGCATTGATTTTTTTTTTCAAACAATTAAATAGTTGAGTGCAGATTAAAATTGCAGATTAAAATAAATAAGTTTGATTTGTATTAGTAAATTTAAAAAGTAACATTTGAAAAGGCAAACCTTAAAAGAGACAAAAATACAAATTTTTCAAAATCGAAATCTGTTGGCAAAATTGGGAAAGTCAAAATTTAGAAATTCAAAACTTGGAAAGACAAAGTTTTGATTTTCCAATTATTTAAAACCGTTTTTATTTTTAGAATTTAAGTAATAATATGTGTACCCGTGTATGCTTTTAGGTTTACCTGAAAACGAGGGTAAGTAGGTACTTCACACTAAAATCAATCTATATTGCAATATGATTTATTTCAATTAGTTTTACTTGATTAATTTTGCTTGAATTATGGGAGTGAGTAGGGGACATACCCCTTAGTAAAAAAGTAGACACACGTTTTCATCAATGTAATACTTCAAACAAATATTGATAAAAAAAAAATTAATAATGAAATGAAAATAAATAATAATATGTATAATGTTTTGACATAATAATATTGTAACTCTACATGCCTATTCGACCCCTCTAACAGCTGAATCCTCCCAGGAGAATTTCGAGTAAAGACTACAATTATAATAATTTGCATTAATGTCTTCTTTTTGTATTCGTGCACGTTTATGTTGATGAATACACGTTGTGACAATTTTAACGGCGTTCATAAATGGTTTACATGGTTAATGCTGCTAGAACCACAATATATTTTGGTATAATAATAATTTGATAATATTATGTTTTTTCCCATAGGGCATTGACGTTTGTTTTTTGTATTCTCTGGTCACTAGTACTTTCGTTGTTTTCTTAGTACGAGTAATTGGGAAAACGGACAATTCGTCCTCGGGAAACCCGTCCCCGTCATAATATTATATGCGAACAATCAGTCCTTGGTAATTTTTATTTCAACACGGTTTTATGAGAATACGTTTTGAAATAACTGTATGAAACCTATAAGTGACACAGAAAAAAAAATGGTATCTATATGTATTTGTCATAGTTTAAGTATCAACTTTTAAAAAGTTGAAATCAATTGTAATAAAATGAATATATGGGTACAAAATACCTACTAATCACTTAGATTACTTATTACAGCCTACGACGGTAAGAAACAATTAACATAAGATATACACTATGAAGGGTAACAACAATATACTTACCTATCCTGAACGGAGTATCCTCAACAACAATGTTGAGTTTAAATACAGGTATAATTATATTTATTTATTATGTTGATGAAAACAAGTGGTAGGAATGATAAAACAAACACTTGATTAAATTAAAAATGACGATATCGGAATGTTAGAAGCCGGAACAACACGCACTCGCGGGAAGACGAAAAAGTGAGATGGAGGAGTCTCTTATGAGAAAGAAAAGGGGAAAATAGTGAAGTGGTGTTGTCCGGTTCTCAGTACCATGTTTTATTATTATATGAGATATTTAACTATAATACATACTATTTGTATTAATCTAAATTGACTTATAAACTAACAAAATGAAGTGGTGTCCTCTATAATAAAATGTAGTGTACATAATAATAATGTTATATAATATTATGTTATGATACATATTATATTGTATATATCATTGCATAATTAATATTAATATATTTAACATATCAATATTAAACATTAATTTGTATAAGTATTATTTTATTTTACAAATTTTTAAATTATTTTTACGATATTACTCTGATAATTTTAACTATAACTCTTTTTAATTTATAATTCCTATAACTACCTGTGTTATCATATTTCATTTTTTACGTTTCAAAAATTAGTTAATTAGTATTAAAAGTTTTTAGCGATAAGTAATAAGAAAAATGTTAGAAAAAAATGCATTGAAACGTAATCTTATAAAAACATGGGAAAAAAATGTACCGGGGACGGATTGTCCGCTTATATGACGTTTTTTCGCGGGGGCCGATTGTCCGTGGAAGAATAATTTGTCCTAGAGTCGTATATTTGGTGCATACGAGATGAAAAGAAAGAGAAAAGTTGAAATCTATGACGAGGTGTAGGGAGGCTGACAAATAAAAAAAAAAAACATTACACTTGTACATTTTTACCTTGTAGAAAAAACATATTATTACTAATAAGACAACAGATAGACAGATGACACTGTGGCGGTAGACTTTTCATCAAGCGTGGACACAGAAAGATAGTTTAAGATAGGTCGTTTAATATAATATGAGTTATGATCGTCTTTATTGTAATTTATAAATTTGTAATCAATTACCGACCGCCGTTATCAAAAAAGTAAACCGTACACACAGAAATTGTTGAACCAGATTCAACTTAACGATAACCTGGTTAAACATGCGGTAACACGGATAAACATGGTTACTCAAAAGGTCACCACGCTAACCTAGTCGTGATCATCCTAGTAATCATCGTGATCATCAAGATCACAACGCAGAAAGGTACGTGCACGCGAACGCCGCAGTGGAAACCCACATTAACAATCAAATCGTAAAATAGTACGCATATTACATACATAACACGGTCCATGTGGGAGGTTAGCCCTTAGTATACCTCGTCTTGAATTATTATCCATACATTAGATAGCATACTTGAATATTTATTATTAGCAGATCTTCGTCATTAGATTCTATTGGTGGATCCGTCACGGTGCGAATTACGTTGACTCATAGACCTACAAATTAGCTTATAAAAGTTTTTTATCAATTTATAGGTCTAGGCGTCAGTTTATTATTTCTTTGTTTTAGGTATGGTATACATCATAGATGATAACACTAGGCAAACCGTCATGAATAACACGGAATTCCCGGATGACATCAGTCGGTTGAACAATTTCAGTAAGTTACCTTTATATACTGGATTGTCTATACCAATATATGTATATACAACATAAAGTAGGTAAGTATTAAAAAGGAATACTTGGAAATCAAACTTCTGTGGTTCATACACGAATTGTGCCATTAAAATTGGTACGAAAATTATATTATATTCTGTATATTTCTGATTCGTATATGAAGGTTATAGGGAAAAAACCAGAAAAGGATTTTTTTTTTTTACAAATTAAAAAGTTCGGATTAAGTTTAATGTCAAACTTTGAAATGATATTAACCAATGCTATAGTCGTGTATTAACCCAACATTTACCTAGTTATATCTTACCTGGTTTTTTTACATAAATTTTAAATTCAGGCAAGTCCATTTTGCTCGGATGCATTAATCAGACTTTTCTTGTTCTTACAAACAATTGAAAAACGAAAAAAGTTTTAACTTTACTTTTAAACTTTTACTTCCATAGTTTTTGCACAACCCCCTTCAATTATAGTACTAAATGTACATCTTATTATCATCTAGAGAAAATCCCAGGTTCAAGAAGAATAAAGAGTTTCCACCAACCAGTCAATGGGCTGGTTAACAAAGAACACTGCTAACAAACTACACAAAGATACTAAAACACTTTGTAATCAAAATTTTTTAAATTGTATTCTAGTTATGCCTGGAACGGGTAAGTAGTTATTGATTACTGGGATTATACTAGGTATGTTACAAAACTCGTCTTAAATGTTTATCCGTGGTCGATTTTTGTTTTTTTTTGTAAATCAAGTGCATGCAACTTTACTGCTACAACTAGGCGTAACTTTGTGAAATGAAAACACTATCATTATTGCTTTAATTGAGTTTATCAGTACATAATACACAATATATGTTACATACATTAATAAATAACAATACTAATCAGCATCTTTTTTTTTTCTTTTATATATTTATTTACAATCGAATTTCAGATTGTGAAAGTAAGTCGAAACATATTCAGTACATTTTTAATTATTTTGACTTTTGACATTGTATTGTTCGGTTACACATGTTTTAAAATGCCGTAATATTCACAATTTGAAAATAATACATTTTGTAAATTTTCCCGTTTTTCCTAAATTGTTTCCTATTTATTATGAAAATCCCAAGAATAATCAAAAAATTTTGTCCCACCCCAGTCAAATTTTCATTCACGAAAGGTGCTTAACTCAAAAATAGGAACTGAATTTGTGGTAGAAAAGTTGTTCACAGAAAAAAAAAATAATAATAAAAAATAAACACCATTCTAAAACCAATACATTTTTCACTCCGCTCAGAATCTAATACAAAACTTAATGATAATTTAATTCAAAATAATAAGTTCAAAGTTTCGAAAAATGTCTACAATAAAACTACTGTAGAAGTTATTATACTCGTACGTATGAGTTATAATATAAATTATAATATTATATAATATTATGTTTATATCCATCATGGTTTTTTCAATTGAAATGCATATTTTATACATTCTACTATTCCATAATTCCATTTTTATTGATTTAAAACGTATTAGTTTGTAAAATTTATTTTTAGTTCAGCTAAAGACGGATGGATTTATTTGTAAGTAAATCATTTCACATGTGTAATAAAACAATTGTGTAGATATATTGGTTGTTGGTGACTCGGACTTGTCAGAACAAATTTAAAAAATAGAGCTTAATATCATTCAGTATGTCTGAAAAATGTAACTGTGAATTACTGAATTAGATCAAAATCTATGGCAATCTAAGACAATCTCATACAAATTTTAATAATTCTTGATCAATTAAATATAAATAATGTTAGTAATAATTTAATGCTGAAAAGAACACAAATTTCCTGTACTCGAAATTAAACTTAATGTAATTCAACTAAACAAAATAAGAATGTGTGTTACTATAGTATAGAACTATTTTATTAAAATATTGACACATTCTTAAATATTTTAGTATCTCTTAATCAAAAAAGTGCCCGAATTTTACTTACTATATATATCGGGTTATTCTTTTAAGTAGGTACACTCATTAACTCTAAAAGTATTAACTATTATCGGAATTTATTTTCTCGAACATTTAAAAAACAACCATCTCTACAATTGTATTTTTTATTATTTATTATTATTGTTATTTTTTGTAACCCATTTTTTTTTTTTTTTTTTGGAAGTAAAACCACCACCTACATTTGATTTTAAATTGTCAACCTATATGAAAAAGTCCATAAATAGATGGATTATTAGTTAAAATCAATTTTAGTGTTGACATTTTTGATTTCCGTCGATCCGTTGACGAGATATTTCACTTTTAAGTTTGAGTTGGAGGAGAGTAGTGGAGTGTAATGGAACACATAAATGAAACCACCTAAAATTAAAAACGTACTATCTCGTCAATGGATATTTAAACTCCGTCTATTTATTGATTTATTAGTATAGGTTGCTATTGTATTATCAAAAGTAGGTAATAGATTCATTTTTTTAAAATAAGGGTGAACAAAAATAATAAAGCAAATGTAACCTTTATTTGAACTACTTAGTTTTTAAATGTTCTAAAAAACAAATTCCGAAAAAATGTAACACTATCTGAGATAATTAGTGTATTACGTTATGTTAATTATCCTGCATGTGTTTGATCAGGCTATATAATTATATTAAACATTTGAACGAAAATGCGAGTGCAGAGAAATAAATTATCTACACAATAAATATATTTACTAATATTTTTAAACGATATTTTTATTTATAAGATTACCGTGGCATAGACAATTATGCTCACGCATTAACAGAAAAGAGTAAGTAGTAGCTATATACTAATACAAAATATGTAAATCGTAATTAATCGTTACATTACTATAAATGAGTTGAACTTGATAAATAATCCAAATTTATTCGTTTTATATATGAACACAAAAAGTTGTATTCAAGAATAGTTCGCTATCAAATAATTAAAAATAAATTATATAAATATATAATTGTAGAATATAATATAATACATCTTAACTTTGTTTGGTTTCTGTAAAATGTATATTATAAATACAACTAATGTACCTGTTATTTGTTTTACATTGTACAGTGAGAGAAAAATACGCGTTTGGTGAACTGAAAAGTGAGTTCAGTTGATGTACATAGGTATTTAAATATGATCACAAAATTTTGTTAAATTATTATTAAGATAATTTAGATTTATATTCTTCATCAAGAAATGAATAATTTATTTGAACACTAATTATGCTTTTTTTGTGTACTATTCGATTCTGGGTGGAGCAAGGATTTTATTGATATGATACGTGCTTATTACATACATTTTTTCTGTCTGTAAACAACTTTTCTACCAGAAACCTTGCTCTAATCAAAAAATGATAAAAGATCATTTTTGTTGTATTTTGAATCTAGTTGGTCACGTTTTGATTTTCTAAGCAGTGATCATAATAATTAAAACTTTGGAAAAAAAAATGTAAATAAAATACGATGCGGCGTTTACAATTTAATTGTTTTGAATTTATTAATATTGTAATTTATAATTGTTTTGAAATGTTTAACAATATTGCTTAGCAAATCAAGAATAATTCTTTCTTTTCTAAAAGAAAATGTTGTGTTAGAAGGGCGTGTTTTGATTGTTTTCGTTGTCTTCCAAACTTCCAACCTAAAACAGTGACAAATAAATCAGCAGTATCGGCTTTTTGTTTTTATTTATTATAATGTTTCTACAAAAGTCTTCAAAAATTATTTTCCAAGACCAAGTTGTAATTGCTGAAATACAAATTAAGTATATTAAGCATATATTTTTTCAGGTTTTTCATCCGAATATATCCGATTTCTCCAAAATGAAGCTGAACGCTGTAAGTATTTTTTATATATGTCTATACGACTAACTGTATTACTCAGCTTCGCCCGGGCGGTATAGTCATATAGTTATTTAAAATTAAATTATATTTACATAAGTAATACAGGGATCCGTAATATCGAGTCCAACTTCTCCCCCTAGGCATGCTCATTGCCATTCCTGTAACGCCTGTATATATACCAAATATTATGTAATAGAAGAAATGCCGGTAATAAGTCGCATTTTAACTTATTTACTTTTTGATAAAGCAACAAAGTATTTGCTGATTATTTATATAAATAAAAAATTAAATTTTCATCAAAATACAAAATCGAAATTAGGCTTAAACCCTGCTCCACAATGTACCTTATCATTTTAAAAACCGCATGTCAATTGAATAAGTATTTCCAGAACCAGCCCATTACAAAAATCTTCAATTTCACGTTTATGTTATACATATAGATTAATAAAAGGTATCACGAATACTTCACCTTAACTCCTATGCACATTTTCAATATCCATGGGATAATCCTAACCACGTTTGTTTTTTTTATTTTACTTGCAAGGTTGCAAGTAAAGAAAACAAACGTCGGATCAAAATAAATACGTCGTTTTAAAATTCAGATATCTTATATTTTCATTAAGAATAATCCGATGTTTGAAAAATGTATTTTTCGGAATTAAAAGTAGCATGTGACACTTGCCAGCAATCCGGCTATCCTATGGCAAAAAATAACATTAATCCTATGGTTTATGGAAACTTAATCTAATCATTTTACACTAAGAAAAAAGCATTTTTCCGTGAAAATGCATTTCTTGTTGTATTTCTCACAACTTTGTATGCGTATTTTTTTATAATGCCTTCTTTACAGGGTGTCTGAAAAATAAATAGGTAAAATGTAAATCAAATACTACTAATAGTCTGAAATAGTAACAGATAACTTTTATCTTATGTTTTTAATCTTACCTTTTATCTTAGTTTATGAAATACAACAAGTTTGATATTACTATTATTTTAGAACAGTATTAATTTTACAATTGTAGGGGGTAAATTGAATAAACAGACAAAATATTATATATTTAAAAAAAGTGCCTTTTTGATAAGATTTTGTCATGATATAAAAATGCGAAATGTCTTCTAAAATTATAAAATATAAGTGTAAAAATTTTACCATAGCAGGTATATTGGCGAAAACGGGAATCAAATATTTTTTTAAATTGGCGGAAATGGGCAAGCCCTGCCATAGCAGTTATCGGAAGTCATTAGACTTTTGAAACTTTTCAGATGTTATGTCATGTAAATCAGAACAACCCCCCCCCCCTCTAAGCTGTTATCATAATCTATAAACCAAATATCTATATGTGCGGAATTCAGTGTAAATAATATATTATTCGATAAATGGGATCAGTTAATTACAACTGAAAAAGGTTATAGTGAAACGATTATAGAAAAAATTGTATTTATTAGAAAAAGGACTTGGAAGTAAATACACTCGACAATTATTCGAAAGTAAATAAAATAAAACAAGTAATCAAGAAAAAAAATATTTAATTTCATTAATTTCAGATAGTGACAGTGTAGCTGGTACAGGTTTTTGGTGTAAGCATATGTCTAATATTATAAATAAAATAACTAATTTTAATTTTAATTTAAAAAAAATGAAAATTATAACTTTAAAGAATGTCTTTCTCTCATTAAATAAATGGTCGATAATAATCTATTAAGTGATCAATTTAATGATTTAAATAACTGTTCAGTGTTTACAGAATTTTAGAAAATGCTAATCCATATAATTTCACAATTTATTTATTATTAGTATATAAGATAAGTAAAAGTTGCGTAGCCAGGATTTCGAAATGTGGGGGGAGGCGCCAGAACATAGCGAAAATATCGTCGCTACGGTCGTCGTATAGAATTTAATACAGATCGTAATATATTTTCAAAATAATCGTAATGACGAGAATATTGTTCGTATTTACTGATCAAAATATTGCCTGGTTGATAGAAATTCGAGGTTGTGAATTTTTATTTTAATTTTAACTTTTATTTTTATTTTAGGTTGTCAGTGTAAGTTATTACATCGATGTTTACTGTCTAATTTGTTTAATTTAAATTAGAGTGACGCAAAAAGTAGGTATTTGATTAATTTAATGATGTATATTTATAAATACCCCACGATGATTCGATAAATGCCATAACTTTTGATTTATTCAGTATTTTTGATGTACATTTTTTTCAAATAATTAGTATGTCTAAGCGCTACAGTTTATATATGAACATTTTGTTTAGGGGGAGGTGGACTTTTTTGTGTTAAACTTTTAACTGAATCACGATAACTGAAAGCACAATAACAAAACAAAATTGAATATAACAGAAACTTTGATATTCCTATATTACCGAAGTTTTTCTACCAAAAACCACCTTTGATGTTGACGATTAAAGCAATATTTTTAGTAGAAAAATTGTTTATAACAAAAAAAAACAAAGTACATGTGTTTTTTTTTTTAATTATGATTTGCACACCATATTAAAACCAATACATTATTATTCGTTGCGTTCTAAATCTAAAATCCATCAACATATTTATTTTGATGCATATTTATGCATAACTTCTGATTATCACGATGTTTATTTAACAATACATTTTTCAAAAGCTTATATTCTTCTTCTCTTTTGCTTAGCCAGCCAACCTCGTTTTTTTTTTTTTTTTTTTTGTTCCCGTACATCTAAGTGGGTATAATTCGTCCAAACTTTGTTTAAGACTCGTAAAATTATTGGACATAACTTTTACATCAGCTGTCGACCTGACATAATCCCATTTGAGATTTTTACTTAAAACTACACAATATATTTATTTGAAAACTACAAAAATAATAATAGGTACATTAATTTATATATACTTTTAAATTTTAAATCTTTTATTGTAGATTCTCTAAATGAAATAGGTTTTATGAGTGAGTATTCAATGTAATAAAATAGTTCTTTTTAAGGATGGACGATTCGATACATCAATGCCTTCGATACTTTAAACATTTTAAACAATATCGAATATTGAAATAGAAGTAATTTTTCGTATAATCTATTTCGATATTTTATTACGTCAAAATTATAAGTGATATTCTTCATAGTAGTGTTAAAAAGTAATCGAGAATCGAGTATCGAATTCAAATTGTTTGGTATCACCCATATCTAATTCCTTTTGTGTCCTTAAATTCATTACAGAAAAATAAAAAATATCTATACATCCCATTCTATTTTTACTTTATAATACATAGAGCGATTCTGGCTTATTGTACATTACAGTCGAAATTTGTCTTTCGATAGTCACTTCTGTGTTCTGTTTGGCTTTGTCCAGGTAGCAAGTGGCCGTTGGAATTTACTGATATATTCAACCAGCCACCGTTCAATTGTGGGTGTGTAATTTTGCGGTTAAATTCTTTTCAATTAATGAAATTTTTGGTGTAAATATCAATATGCACACCACCATTAAATGCTACACTGAATTATAAGAATAAATAGGTTGCCTCATATGGACTCATATAAAGTTTTTTAAAAAAAAAAAAAATTAAATTTATTAATCAAATCAACCAAATAAATAAATGCGTATAATGATTAAGGATCGTGGAATCAATACTTATCTATAATTTAAAAATCATAGCAAAAGTGGGTATCCAATAATACGGTATTCATTATATTATAGTTTACCTACCTAATATATTGGGTATGTAATTCTTAATCATATATCTTCATTGAATGACAAATTTAGATCCCACGGATGGTTCATTAAATTACAATGTGATATTCATTAAATGGGGTGAGCAATTTATATCGAATAATTGCTTATATAATTCTAAGGAAAATAATTTAATGCTTGTTTTTTTTTTTTTTTTTTGTAGGTGGAAATTGCAACAAATTATCGGAAGGTAAAATTATTTCATGATTCACATTATTTTAGGAATACAATAAGATAATTTAATAAGGATCTGCAGTTTATTTACGTTATCAATATGAATAAAAATTGAAATTAAAAAAAGAGCAGATACTGGGGACGGGTGCAGCCACTGTTGTAGATGGGAAATTGGGAAGGTAGGATACATAAAGTTATTTAATTTATATCTGTATGCAATGATAAACTATTGCTAATGAAAAACGACTTGGAATGAAATTCGATAAAGCATATTTTGAAATGCAGTAATTTTTACGATTTTCGTAAAATTTTGATCTTAAAACGCTTATAGAAATAAAATTAATGCACTAAACTCAGATTTGTTTTTTATACCACTAAGTACAACTTATAATATCTTTTAATATTCCTTTAATAATCCTATAATATTTTAACACAACCTTGTGTTAAATTTTCAAGCATTTCTTTTAAGCCATATAATTTTAATAACAGAAACCTACTAAATTAATATATACATATAAAAACACGAAAGTATTAAATACTTATAAATTGCCTAAACTTAGTTAAAACTTTACCTCATCTACAAATTGCCAATATAAGTATTATGTGAAAACTACAGGTTTCCGTAATAATTTCCAACCGAATAAGAACAAAATACCCAAATTTCCTACGTTTTTTCCCGGTTTTTCATAATTATTAGAAAAACTATACAAAAAACCAAACGACTTTTTTACTCACCAATTAGACAAAATTTTATTTCTGAAAATATGCTATTCTTGAAATTCAGACAAAGATTTCTGGTAGAAAAATATAGTTTTAAAAATGTTAAAGAACAAAATCGTCACGCCGCAATTTTAAATAATCGTATTTTTCGTCTTTTTTAATTTTTCCCGATTATTATAAAAACTACTTTAGATATCAAAAAAAAATTCCTTGCAATGGCTATATGGAAAAAAAAATCGATCTCTTGACATTCATCGATTGGAGCAATATTTCTGGTAGAAAACGTTGTTTACAAAAACTAAAAACAATGAAATCGTTAACGACGTGGCATACTGTAAATACATTATATTGTTTTACCTATAATTTTCTTTCCGGTTTTTCCTAATTATTTTAAAAACCCCTTGGAAAATAAAAAATAATTACTTCTTTAATGCACCAACTAGACAAAATTTCTTCAGAATAAATACTGCACTTTATACATCGGGTCAAGGTTTCTTTTCGAAAAGTTGTTTACAGACAAAAAATATATAAAAAAAAAAATTCCCCGCTACGCCCGAATCTAATAATGTTAAGAAGTGCCTCTATCAGCACTGACCTTATTCGATATTGAACTAAAGTAATTATGTAAATAATAATAATTTTTTTTACTTTAGGAATAGAACATAGTTACTGTTCCTATCTCGTCAACAATTATTCTTTGAACAGTACGTATTATTGTTTAAACAATTCAATATATTGTACTATGTGTATACTAAATATACATTTTCAATATTGTGGAATTGTGGAGGAATTTGCTTAGAATTTCATTGCTTACCCGTATTGCGATGGTTTTCTTGTGTATACCAATAACTAATATACCTACATCGGTGACACCCGACTGAGCACGATCGTTATTGACCGACCTATTTGATGACCCGATTGAGCACAATAAAATAAATAAATATTGTGTACAACGTTGTCAGATTTTCACTAACACGATGTTATGCAGGTTACTAATAGGTAACTAACATATTATTAGCCGAAGAAGATTTTCCTATCGATCGATGGGTACCCGTGGAAGTTAAAAATAACTGGGATAGACAGAAAACCAGAATTTTATCTAGGTGCAACGATTGCACTAAATTGTGATTAACTGTTATTGTATGTACCTACGCTGTAAATAAGACTTGGTCACAGTCAGTCTGTTCAGCTGTCTCGTGCTCGTGTCTCTTCAAAAATATTGTGTATTTTACAAATTCTACAATTATTATGATGGAAAATAATAAAATGCAAATAATTTTATCCGGGAAAGGCAGAATTGACACATGTTGAAGCTTTCAAGTACAGGTTTAATGGGTCGAGAAAAATAGGTGAATTATTGAAATGGCGATGATGACAAAAAATTATTGTACAGCGACCTTTTTCATCTAATTTTTTTTATATATATTCGGTATTTAGCGGAACAAATTTTAATTTTAATATATATTTAACTAACTGACCAGCAAACGCTATCTTAATTCATAATAATATGTGATTAAAAACCAATAAAAAATGTTTATCTATAAATATTTGTATTTTTTATTTTTTAATAATAATAATCTACAGTACAAAGTGGCAACGTCGCACCTTTTTTCGTGCTCAATCATGTTTTTTTGGAGGTTTCTATTGTTTAATTGCAACCGTGTTAAATCGAGTTTTAAAAAAGGTCAATTGCGCTCAATCGGGTTCCAGCCACCTACATATGCAGTGGCATGCCCAGGAATTTTTAGTGGGAGGAGATGTAACGAATAAAAATCGTGAAGAAAGTAAAATTGTCTTCTCTGCCCGACTCGACTATGGAAATTGGTAAATTAAAAGCTGGATCCTAAAAAAGCCGATTTCTACTCAATACGTCAAGCATTTTCTCGGAAATCGGCCGAAATTTGAGTTTCAATATTCGATTACTCGTATTTTGTTGTATTTTTAAGCCAATAGGGGGGGTAGGATATAACCCCTAACTTCCTCCCAGGGCCACGCCACTATACATGTGTATATTGTACATTGTGTGCATAATAGGTATGCATGTTATGTATATTATTATATTTGTTATCAAACATAAATACATAATTATTATATAGTAATTAAAACAAATTAATGATTTTTTTAGTTGCTGCGAACGAAGAATTATTAGGCACAGATGAATGGTGTGAACGATACATTCGCTACCAGTACCAATCAGGTGAACGTCGAAAATCCAGTATTTTCAGTAATATAATTTAATTAAGACCAAAATAAAAAAATGTTGCAATTAGTTATATTTATTTTATAATTTAGCTATTAATATGATTAAAGATTCTCTCTCTCTCTCTCTCTCTCTCTCTCTTTCTCTACGTATATTTATGTATATTTGTTTTAATACTCCGTGTTTCAGTTTTTAGTTAAAAATATAAATATAAATTCGACTTGAGTTTCTTAGACAGTGTATTTATTTACTTATTTTATTTCATTTTACGGACAATGTCCAATTTCAAATAGAAGTTAAAGAGGTAATTGAATATAGATTAAGGTACATCACATTTACAAAGGATATCTCGGCACCTATGAGGTTTCGAAGGATACGTTATCTGCGTCAATAAAAGTGCTTCCTATGAAGTTTACGAACAAACTTTAAATGACTAACTAATTAATCTCTGATCTGTAAGCCACGATGAAAACGGGTATCTAATATTTCATTAACGAATGGTCATTGTAAAATGAAATAATTGTTGCTGCATATTCGTACTTCGAAAAAGTTTCATCGCGTAAATCGTTTGGTTAGTAATTTTAAAAGTGGTACACTGTTTTTACATATTTTGTACTCGCTACATTTTCGCCACGCGTTTACCGCGACATTTAAACTATAATATAATATACCACTTTCGAGTATCTACGAACATTTTTTAACATTAATAAAACAAAATTTAAAATAATAAAATAATTATTTTCTTACATTTTCCAGTACTTTCTACGTATCTTTCGGTTTTTTTAATTATTTAAAAAGCTACAAAGAAAATCAATAAACGAATTTCTTCATGAGTATCAAAATTCAGTATTTTTATTTTTGTTTTGTTTTAAATGAGCTAAATCAATTTTCGATGAAATCGTAAGTATTACGGCGCTTTAAAAACATTTATACCGAACTTTGCTCCGAAAAGTTTTTAATTAGCAACAGTTTTCTTGAAATTGATATTCTTTAAAATATGAGAATATGACATATTTGATAGAATATGTTGTTTCTTTATTCGTATACATACCTTCTTAATATCTACATCAGTAGCACATGCGTCCTCAGTATCAGCTCATTTTTTTTTTATAAATTATGGTCCATGTACATTCAACCAATTATTATAATGAAAATCATAATATTTCATTATTTCGTTTTAAAAACTTGATTATAAATGTTGATACACGTGTAGCAAATAATAGTTGCAAATTAGATGCAAAATAACGGCACTGGTTTAGAGAAGATCGAACAAAGTTGAAAGGCTACGTGAAGTTGGCCCCTCTAAAAATAAAACCCTTTTTGCGGAGTTGGAAATTTCGAAACACGTGTTGCCAATTGTTGCAAATAAGTTGCAAAATAATGGCATAAGTTTGGTTTAGATCGAACAAAGTCGGGGGAGGGGGCAACTTCACGGATGTGTACTATTAGGCATAAAGTCGTATTGCAGTCGTAACTATAACAAAGAATAAAATCTTATTACGATCTAAATTATTACAATTATGTGGATACATCTAAACAATTTTGATTAAGAGAATGCCATACCCGCATGTGTTGTCTTCGTCTTAAAACCACACGGCATAGCAAAGTTACGTTACTTATGGAACATAAGTTATGGCGTTTAGATAATTGGAGTTTAATCACAAATAAGATAACTTAAAGAATTAAAGCTATTTAAAAAATACAAAAACTAACATTGTTATAACTTTTTTGTAAATGATAATTTTTTGGTGAAACATATTTTTCGTACAGCTTCGTAGTAAAGTTTGTAATCGTGTGTATTCTAAATTTGATCGACACTGCAGGTGTTACTGTTGAAATTTTAATATTTGATGGGACTGCGTCAAATATATCATGGTAAAAATATTAGTAGCCAATTTACTCACGAATCCATCATTTAAACATCCAAGTACCAAGGAAGATGTGCCTACGTCTACATATATTTTTAAATGCAGCTCACATGTCAAAATTAGTAAGGTATACTGCGAACGTGCAAAGTTTCCGGTTTTTAAACGTATTCCCAACATTCAACAATAAACACTATGATTACATACACAATTTTGAACGAATCTGGTTAGCGGCTAGTATAATATTACGCTCACCGTTCAAGTGTCTTAACACAAATTAATTGAAAATCTTAATTCATTTAACAGTCTACAGCAGTGTTTCTCAACCTTATTAATCTTGCGACCTCTAAAATATGTAAAAAATAAAGTCCATTATCTCACACACCCCCCCCTCCCATATAATAAAAACTAATAATATAATTATATTGCATTTTTTATTAGATTATATATATATACAATGAAATATGTTGATTATAGTATAAACTAACTTCTTCATTTGTCTAAATATGGTTGTGTAGTTTTTTATTTTTATTTAAATAAAATGTTTAATTATTTCTTTTTTTTAAGTTGTATGTGAATAGGAAGCTTCAATAAAATTAAAAATTGTTTTTGCAATTGTATTTTATTTATGATTAATACATATTATTATATCATGGTATATTTTATAATTACATATTATAATTTAATAAAAAAAAATTTTAGTTTTACTATTATTGATTTTAAAGTTTTTGAGGTCTTTTTTACGCATCATAATAAATTTCCGTAAAATAAAAACAAATATAAAAAAAAAAAATCAATACAATGAAATATTTTTATTTATCAAAAAAATAAATAAATAAAAAAATCCGGTCCTTCAGATTAAACAAAGTTGAAAGATTAAAAATAAAGTTGTTATTGGCAACCATTTTTTATTTATTTTTTGTTATTATCTATTAAGTTTTTATTATTTTAATCTTTTTTAAACAATCATTGTTCATGGAAACGTGCATTGTTGTAATTATTTTACCATAATATAACATATACAGAGTGCTTTTTTTTTTAATTTTAAATGAAATGATTTTTGTTTTTTCTAACTATTATGGAATCGTGTAAGCTTTATTTTAAAATCATTTTAAATCTTTTACCCCTACACCATAAATCTTAAATAAGTGTATACTTTTAATTTTCCAATAGGAACCCTCCTTTTGAACACTGATTTTAATAGAGAATATTTTTCTAGATATTTTGATATGTATCACACTAATATCAGATTTACTGTTTGAGTTATAACAGTTTAAAGTTTAGACTAGAGGAGTAAAGAAGGGTCATAGATAATTGCTGGTTCATGATAAAAAAAATCACTCTGTATATTGTTGACGAAGCAACGCTATCAATTATGCTCCACTCAAAATCGTTTTTTCGTTAGCATTGGTTGATTGTTGCTTACAAATTTACATTAAATTACCTATAACAGTGGATGCGCCCGTCCCTTTATTTTTATTATCTATGTGTGAAACCCCTAACCCAAAGTCTGGTGGAAAACAACCATAGATAATATTATCTAAAATAATATGAGATAACCGTTATCGTTATCCACTATAGACATTTAATATAATCTCCATGGTGTATTACCAAATACACCTTGATAAGAATGTATTATCACGATTTGAACGTTATCAATGATAAAATAGGGAAAGTTCTCATCAATTACTAACTGTGCACCTATAGACTGTGCTTTGTGTTTGAAATATTTCAAATTAGGTAAAAAATTATTCAGTATTTTTTAATATGCTTCACATTCTATTCCGTTTAAATGAGCCCATTAGCAGGACGTTTTCACGATCAATTGTCATCAAACAGTTACGCGATATGCATTGTAAACAAATCGTATTTAAAGAATATGGCGACCCATTGAAAGTTACCCAACTAGTGGAAAATACTTTACCTGATTGTCCCGATGACGAACAGGTACAGTACATGTTGTCTTGCCCTGGGCAGTACAATTTTTACTCTTTTTTTCTTATTAAAGGTCTTAGTAAAAATGATTGTAGCGCCAGTCAATCCTGCTGATATAAACACCATTCAAGGTGTTTATCCAGTAAAACTAACCCTACCCAGTATTCCTGGATTCGAAGGAATTGGCGATGTAGTAGCTGTTGGTTCGGCTGTAAAAAATCTTGTTCCTGGTGATCGAGTAATACCCTATGGAAGTATTGGCACCTGGTGTTCAGCCAGGATGTTTAACTGCAAACAACTTAAAAAGGTCAGTGGGGTGTTATTACTATTATTATATCAATGTCCAGATAATTATAAATAAATTATTATAGGAACCTGTTTAAAATCATGATAGAAACTATAGATGGGTTTTATTTTGTTTTCTATATATTATCGACACTGGTATAAATTACACAATTGCAACATATTTTTACTCACCTAATATACCTAAATATGAATTGTATGTGTGCTATGTGCATAATATAAGTAACCTACTATGTCTATGATCTTTTTTTTACAATTACAAAAACATGTACAAAGTTGATATTGTCCATCTTTAATAGAAACTATAAAACACTGTGGAACCAATTTTAATGTTAACAGTTTTGTGTGAATTTTGATATATTGTGTAGGTTATACAGTTACTGGTTTGAAAAATGATAGAAGATATAGTGTTATCAGCATTACTACTATCGAATATTTTTTATAATTGTTTGCCTCCAGAGTCATAAATGTTGATTTTTCTAATAAGTATTTTTTTTTTAACTATGGTTTTAAAAAATAAATTAACAGGTTTTATGATTTTAAAAACTATAAAAGAAAAGAATTATACAAACCAGTTAATTAAACTGAAAAAAAATTATAGCAGGTATTAACTAACAATTTTAAAATTTTCCTGAAGGGTGATTTAAAATGAACTGTAATAAAATGCTATGTAACTTTGATTGTTTTTGAGCTAAACATTTAAATTGTATATGAATAAAAATAAGCTCCGATAAAAAATAATAGGAAAAGGCCCATTGTAAACTAATACTTATTTAAAAAATATTAATGAATCTGTAGGTGAATTGAAAAATATCAATTTTTTACTAATTACCTTCAATGACTAAGGTATATATGGATTATACATATTACAATAAAACTTCTGTTGACGGTTATTTATTTTGGTCAAGTGTTCGTCAAGTATTATGCCTTTATAGGTCACTTCTAAAGGACGGTCACCTTTAAATAGTGGTAATTATTTCTGGTCCTTTCGGTGACCGTTATTTGGAAGGTTTACTGGGTATATTTTTTTTTAAATGTCTAAATTAGCTTATATAAGTCTGTTTTACAAATTGTATTATTCTATCTTCTATTTGTAAGCCGAGGATTTTGTACCATTAATCTGGTATTTTCTTTTCTTTGTGTTTCATATTGATAACATTATGTTAGAATGTTTTATTAGTATATCATTTATACATTGATAATTTATAATTTAAATCATTTATAATGATCAAAAATCCGAATATCCAATATTTATATATATTTATAGGTACATTGATTTACAATAAAATTATACCTACACCATATTAATATTCTATATTATTGTTAAGGGTTTTTCAGTTATAAAATAAAAAAATAACTAAACAAGTATTGTAGAATTTTTAATTGTAATAATAATATATAGGTACCTGTGTTTATTATTGTTTTTTTGTTTTTTTTGGCTTAAAATAATATGTATAGGTAAAAAGTTTTTTTTTTATGCTATTCATTATTATTTCTTAAATGTATATGTATTAATTTACAACATGGCGTTTTTTTTCTCATACCGATTAAGTAGACCTTGAAGTACCCAATAAAACTTCAATATAAATTTTAAAATATGTCTACTTTTTTATCATAAAATGTTAATTAATACCTTTACCCAAAGAAAAGAACGACAAATAGTAATGCTAATCAGTGTTAATATTATATAACATAATTACAGAAAAAAAAAATTACTGATTATATAATTTAACAACATATTAATTGAATATTTTCATAAATATGATTATATTTTTTCGTAGATTAGTAGTACATCATATAGTAGTGTCAATTTATGGAATAATATTAGATTTTAAAAAAATGCTAATAAATGGCCTAACCCAAAGAACTCTTTATTAGTAATTCATTTTGCACTTACAAATTGATACAATTTTAAATTTAAATTTATCAAGACGTAATTAATCAAACTTCATTTAGAATTATTTTTATTTGCAGTGATTTATTATTGTATACAGATATAAATTCAATTACTCTATATAGAATTTTGAATTAAAACATTAGCCCAACTATTATATATTAGCTTGTTTACTTTTTGTTTTTAAAATTAAAGTTAAATTTTTAGATTTTTATTGTAATGTTAGTCCTATTATAATCTTCTTGTATAAATGGCTTGTGTAATTGTGTAATTAATGTAATGATAATTTACTTTTATGAAGTACATTTGAAACCATTTTTTTATAAATTGCATTCATTATGTTTTAGGTGGACAAAGACATTGATATTTATGCGTTAAGTGGTATTTCTTCTAACCCATGTACTGCATATCGGATGTTAAACGATTTTGTTTCACTCAACCAAAATGATGTTGTTATACAAAATGGTGGTAATAGTGCATGTGGTCAGAACGTCATTCAGTTGGCTAAAATATTTGGCTACACAAGTGTTAACATTATACGTAATCGACCTGAACCAGACTTGACAAATTTAAAAAACCATTTAATAGGTTTAGGTGCTACATATGTACTTACTGAAGAAGAATTAAGGTAAATTATAAATCAATAATTTTGTACACATGTCACTGCTAACTTCATAAAAATGTATTAACATTTTATTTATTTGTACTTAGGACTACGCAAATATTCAAAAATGGCACTATACCTAAGCCCAAGTTAGGTTTAAATAATGTAGGTGGAAAAAGTTCAACTGAAGTTTTACGGACGTTGAGCAATGGTGGAGTTATGGTGACATATGGTGGAATGTCCAAAGAACCAGTCATTGTGCCTACTGCATCATTTATATTTAAAGATATTCAACTTAGAGGTTTTTGGATGACAAGATGGCATACAGAAAATGCCACTTCAAAGCAACGTGAAGAAATGTATGATGAATTATCAAAATTTATGAAAAATGGCAAATTAGTAGCACCTGCCCATAAAGCTATATCATTAGATTCGTACAAAGAAGCATTAGAAAACACTATTTCGTCCAAAAGTTATACCAGTTTTAAATATTTTTTAAATTTACAAGATTAAATTGATTATAATAAAATATGCTTACTTACCAAAATTACTTAAAATTTAAATTTAATTCTCTGTTAAGTATATTCTTATTATAGAATTGTATATATTGGACTGAAATGAATTGTTATTTAATTTTGGATAATATTTAACAATGTGTAAACAAATATAAACAAATATTAATAAAACCAAAAAGTGTTCTAGAGATTATTATTACTCAAACATAACATAATAAAATAAGTATAAAAAAGATGGACATACTTCGCATGTGGGTGAGCCACTTTTGTAAATGAGAAGTTGGGAAGGTAGAAAGGAAATTTAATGTAGATCTGTACACAACAATTAACTATTGTTAACGAAAAACGATTCTGAGCGGAGTTTGGTTAATAGTGTTATTTTGTCAACAATATATATATGTCAGATTATGTTAAAATAATTACATATTATGCATTACTACAATATTTTACTTAATTTCCCATTTTTTTCCAATTTATTATGATAACAGTTAAGAAAATTAAAAAATGAACTCCCTAAAGTACCAATCTAGTTAGATTTCTTTTCAGAAAAAATGCTATGATTGTAAATCGGAGTGAAATTTCTGGTAGAAAAGTTGTTCACAGAAAACAAAAAAACTATATTAAGATCAATACATTTCTCGCTCTTCTCGGAATCTAATAGCCAGTCCATTTTGTGTGTTTTGTACAATGTTTTTACACAAGATATTGTACCAATTTAGTGACTGCTATGTTAGGTAGTATATATATTATAGGGTAATTTAGTTAATAATTTATTGTGCACTAAACAACTATTTTAAGCAGTATTAAGTTAAATATTTATTTTTTTTTTTTTTTTTGAAATAAGTGATTCTAACAAATTTTCCCTAAAAATTAGGGTAAAAAACGGCTAAGAATTAAAATATTTTGCACTTGAATACCTGGCAGCAACAACCAGACATCTCAATATTTTGGTCTTCAATTATAAATATGTAAAATTATTAATGTGGATTTTCTAAACTTAGCTTGATGTTATTCTTAACTTATACAATTTGCTAAACTCAAAATCTAAAATCTAAAAGTTTTAAATTAGTAATAATCTTAACTGAGCTTCAATTAAAATCATATTAAACAAAAATAAAAAAAAAAACCAAAAAAACTTGATTTATAAAAATTAAGTTATTTTGAAAATAATGAATGAAGTTAAAATGTATTTTATTTTACTCAATTTTTAAAAATAAATTCAAAGTAGTATACAATAAAACGATTTTTGTTCAATAAAATATGAACTTGTTCCTTCTAAAAAAATTACTTTATTGTACTAAACTGTTTTAACCAAGTATCACTTATCTACATTTTTTATCGGCTAAAATAATTTTAGCCACATAAAACCAAATAATAACTAAAAAAAATTTCAAATACATTAAATAATTAAAAATCTCCAAAAAGTTATGAACATTTTAAAATACCTAGAAAATACTAATATTAGTTGTCTGTACAAATTTCAAATTTCCATGAATATTTTAAACTAAATTACAACAAACAAACAAAATTGAAAATAATAAAAGCGTTAGTTTTGTTACCCAATTATAAAAACCGCTTTCAAAAGACGATCTCGCGCACCATCTAAACAAAATGTTTATTCAGAAAAGATGCTACGTTTGAAAATCTGAGCTAAATGACTAATAGAAAACAAAATAATGAAACTTGTTTTGCTCTAAATACGTCCGTTTTTGCACAAAGTAATATGAATATATGAAGAAAAAAAAACATAAATAAATAAATATAGTAAAACCAATATATTTTCCTCATTGCGCTCAGAATTTAAAATAAAAACACGCATCGCGGTAAAACCAATAAGTATCTACGACTGCAAGCGGCCAATATAAAAATCACTTTATCGGAAAGTCGGGATAAGGAAACAAGTTTTTCGAAAATCGAAAAACTTGTTAAAACGACTCGTTTGACACAACCTATCGGTTTATGCCGCCGATCACTGTTGCAGACATTTGTAATTGCCTGGCAGTTCAGTTCCAGGCGCTATCTTTGTCGCGCCACTCGAATTCCAAATATTTACGCCGGCCAATCGCGCCGTCGCCGTTTACGCGTACCTATGTCATGACGGATTTAACGCCAGGTTACAGTTAAATATCTACCGAATGCGTTTGTCCCTGGACGAAAAACGCTGGAAAAAAAAAAAATAAACAAAAACCCTTTTACAAGGCAGCTGTTTAGGCATAATGTGTTATACCCCGCTCCCAATAAACTGTGCTCCCGTAGGTAGGTATATTGAGGAAAAAAAAAAAAAAACAGTTTTACACACGTCGTTTCGACGGCGTGCGGAAGCGTTTCCGTCGTCGGACCTCGTGCGCAATAAAATTAAACACACAACAATAATATTATAATACACGGGCGGCGCGAAAAACGGAAGAAGGCCGTCCACCTCGAATATAAATTCGCACCGAGAGGATGTTCCCATACGCCAGACACGTATTATAATAATATTACAATATACGTACACCGCGTGTTTATTATTCCGTATAACAGGAACGCACGCAACATTACGGGCAAAAAACCTACTAGGTTCACGTCGTAAATACGATTATCGTCGTCGAGGAGATACTGATTCTTCCCGTCAGTTTGTTATTTTTTTTTTCACACTGTTTTTTTTTTTTTTTTTTTTTTCCCCTCGCCCGCATACTCGTATGCACACGACGTGTCTTTAGTTCCAGTCCGAATGCGCGAGTGAAAAATAACACACCGCGCGTACACCGCACTGAGCATACCACGCACGGCGAGCAGACTTCGCATTGATCCGAGGGGTGTGAAATGCCGGACGAGACAAGTGTCCGTGTGTGACACGTCGTACTGTAACAAGCCGACCGCGGAATCGCGCGACACCGCCGGAACAACCGCCGCTCTACACCGGCCGTCGTGCGACACTGACCCGGTGCAAATGATGCGTGTTTCACTCGACTCTGTGCAGGTACCTACAACAAACGGTATTCCGTATGATATTGTTATTCTATTAATAGCTGTAACTTGTATTGATGTTTTAAATTTGTCACGTTTTAACGCTCTAGTATTATAAGCGCCTGAAGTCGAAAATTGTATTACTTGCGGCGGCGTGTCCGATAGAAAAATATTTTCGGATATGGAAGGGGGGCACAATGGACAGCGGTTTCATAAAGTTCGGGGACCAAGACGACGTCCCTGGTAAAACGAAGTGTTGTTTGAGCAGTACAAACGTATGCGTGAAGGGAGTTTATTTATTTATTTGATTAGAATTTCGGTATACAGGAACACAGACAAAATAGGTATATATTATTGATAACGTCATAATCAATTACATTCATCCCTTTCATATTCATTCTAACTATTTGGGGTCGGCCGCCCTTTACATAAACTTCCACTTGACCCGGTCTTCCGCATCGTACTCGCATACACCCACCATCTTCATATCGTCCTCAATCGCAACCAATCACCTCTTTTTAGTCTTCCTCTCCTCCTCTCTTCTCCTACGTCTATTTTAATTACAATTTTTACGGCTCTTGATTCGTCTCCCCTCGTAGCATGCTCAAACCATCTCAGTTGGTGTATAATCGTTGTTATTATTATTATTATTGTTGTGATTATCTATTGCCAATATTGTACCACGTTAGGCAAGCAATTTTAAAAGTAAACCGTCGGGCGCTTAGGTAGCGACGTGTCACAACCGCGGGCAAACACGTACGGTTTCTAAAAGCTTATTGACTTACCTTTGTATACAATTTGTTCGCTAAAATCACTATTGTCCGGGATTTCGATAAGAAGGCCCGGGGAATGAGCTCTGTACGTCTTTTGATATTTGCTTTATTATTATAGAAGTTATTTGATCTGTATATTTATGTGTCATACCTTTTTATCAATCCTTTACACATAAACTAGCCTATGATTTTGATATCAAACCTAGCTGAAATATAAAACGGTCTACCTTCGCTTAAACCTTAATCGTTTCACTGAAGGCATCAAATATTGGAATAGACAATCGGTGTTTGAACGTCACGGCGCACAAGGTTGAGCAGTCCCTTGGCCGTCCGATCAGTAAAACCAATTACCAAAGGTTTCGGGATCGTTTTGTGACTAGTGTACGTCCAAGAAAAAAAAAATCTTGCGTATACAATAGAGCTTATATCTAGGAGAACATAAAGTTCTTCGATGAATCACTATTTATTTATTTATTTATTTTATTTTTGAAAATACACGCCCGGGGGCAATTAGGTACAGTGAATTTGTACAATGTTTATATATGTTATTTAACATTACAACTATATATATATATATTATATAGGTAAGTGAGCTAAGTATATAAAAGAATAAAAAACAAAAAACCACAGAGAAGGACAAAACAAAAACAAGAAAACAAGAGAAGAGAGAAAAAAAATACATATTTAAAAAGATGATGTACTAATTTGTATCGCACTTAGAGAAGAATGAATAATATCGAAATTGTTTTGTAGATTGTTACGGGAAACAAGTGCTCGGTTAATGGGGGGGAAAGCCGTAAAGTGTATTGTGTTTAGTGATGTAAAAAGTTAGTCGGTTTCTAGAATTAAATGCAAGAACTGATATATTTATTTGACCAAAAAGAAAGCTGTCATTTAAAGAGCCATGCAGGATTTTGTAAATAAAAATGACATCAAAATATAAACGTCTGGAGCTCAAAGAGTTGATATTAACTAATCTCCTAAGAGGTTCGAATTAATGGTTAGTAAGCAATTAGTAGGTATTTTAAAATTAATGTATCTTAGAAATTTATTCTGAACTTTTTCAATTTTATTAATCCAAACAAGTTGATAAGGGTTCCAAACGATGGAACCATATTCAAGTAACCGTTTCTATTCAGTAATCGGACTGATTTTGCCTTAATCGAATAACATTTTAAATTCTATAGGGAAGGTCTTAACCCAAAAATCGAGCTAACGCATCGCAGACGAACCTATGGCGCGTGTAGAAACCTTATCCGGACCGGGTCTAGGTGATCGTAGATAAGATTATTTTTAAGCGTTTCAAGTTCAAATTAGTGTGAAAATCGTGAAAATCGCCGATCGCGGTATTTCAAAATACAACACACAATAGAACTTCGCTCAGAATCGTATTTCATTAGCAACGATTTATCGTTTCGTGCATATTATATACATTGGATAATTCTGCGTGTCCGATCTTTCCGACTTCGGTCCTACAACAGTGGCACGCCCATCGGCAGCTCCTTTCGTTGTACGGGTGTTTAAAAACGCGTACAATCTTTAATCTCGGCTTTCGAACATTATTATATTTATAGGTGCTGTAGGCAAGTACGCTATACCGTTCTGATAGTGTGATACAATATTGTAGTACGTATAATATGCATTTTAACATAATACGTTCGGTGACGTGGATAGGGCGGAAGGCGTCGGGGGCGGTGATGGGGGGGAGGGGGGGCAGGTGGACCGCCGTCTCTATAATAATATACGAGTGTACACATATTTCGTGTTATAAGTGCTGCCGCCGCCGCAGCTGTTTACAGTTTCCATCTGTTATCGCCGCCGTCGGTGTCGGCTGGCTCGCAAGCCGATCTGAAAATCGGCCGGGCGCCAGCTGCAACTGCGGCTAACCCTTTGGGGCCGTAAACCGTTCCACGCGACGAACGCGCGAGGCGGCATCCCGTGCGTTTACACTGCACGCGCGTAACAATGTACGGGCCGTTCGGCGAATACGCAAACGGTTTTTAGACGTCGTCCGCGTGCCCGCCGCCGTTCGTTTTAAAACTTTTTAGGCGCACATTGTATTTCTAAACACATTGTACTTGACGTGTGCAGAGAGAGAGAGAGAGACAAAAAAAAAAAAGAAGTGGCAATTGTTTACTAAAAACACACCGGAAACCGAACACTCGGCGTGTGTGTCAAACGAATACTTTTCGTGTCGCGTTTCCCGTTCGCAACGCATACGGCCGACCGCGTCGTGCGCCCACGCGGTGATTTGGAGTTGAAAAGAAAAAAAAAACAAATCTTATAAACCATAATAACGAAATAGGAATACTGCAGTATGTAATTATATACGTTTTAACACGCGCTACATTTTACAATTTAAAAAAGGGGACCATTTTTTTTTTTTTTTTTTTTCAATCTTATAAAAAAAATTAAAATACGTGTATAAGTATATATCGTACATATTAATTATTACAATTGAATTGAAATATTCTTAATATAGTGAAAGTTCTCTGATGGGCCTTTCTGAATAGTGAACGCCATTCGATCGTGTGTCAAATGTCAACGGTGTCCTGGCAAATAATTATATCGTGTTCCTATAATTATAGTAGACATCTCAAACAAATACAAATTATTCAATATTTCATTGAGTTCCCAATTTTATTTTAGTAGAAAGTAACGTAATTTGCGCTGTTTTCCTGTGCAAAATGTAATGTTACGTTACTTGCCAAAATAAAATTGTATCGATACTTCCAACCACTGGAATAACCACCTGTGATAAAACCCTATCAAAACTAAAGTATGCGCTCGCCAAAATTTTGGAAAATTGCTCGTACAGTGATAACAGTCAATTAGGGAAACTTGAGGAATTAGTATGGGTTACTGAATAATGCGCGAAATATCATTTCTCATAAATTTTACTGTGTATATTAACTATATCAATAACTGGTTGATCTTTAGCTTTTAAGTCTGGGAAAAAATCGAAAATCGTAAGTCTGCGCGCAAATTCCTAATTTGTTAGTGCATATGAAGAAAAGTTGTCTTATACGGTTTTTTTTGATTTTTTTTTTTTTTTTTCTATATTCTTTCTTCTGTTCTAAAAGCCAGAGACTAATCTGTTATTGAAATAGATTAGACTTTATTATAATATTTAGTAAAACATATTAATCGTGATGTTTTTTTTTTATTCTGTACCCTCCCTCTATTCCGACGGGATAAATTCTTATGTTAACACATTCTATTTAAAACCAATGAATTTAAAATTCGAATACATTTTTTTTTTTTTAAAGAATGTCCAAACTCTGCATAATATTTATCGTTAATTTTCAGGTTATAAGGTTTATCGTTCAAGATCTGATCAAACGAAAATTTAAGTATTTTAAATCTGCATAACCAACAGCGGTGCCTGGGTTACTATCATCAACAGGCAAAATACCATTATTTCATAAACAAATTAAAAATTAAATAATTGACCAGTGTTTCATCATCGACAAGGATGATTTTAATCGTGTCTGAAAAACCGGGATTATCTAGATTAATGAATATATTCATCTGTAAAGGATACTATTCTATAGGAGTAATCCAAGAATTTTACATTTTCAAGGTTTCGGTTGTGACTCCATTATATAAAATTTAATATTGATAAAACAGTCAATTTACTTTAATAATATATAGGACGTCGGTCGAGGTAAATACGAAGTGATAGTGATTATTAGTTTTTTGAGGGATGTACCGACAGACAACAATGGAATTATAACTTAAGTCTGAAGTATACTTTGGTCACGATTTTAATCGAAATTCATGTAAGCCATTTTTGAAATAGCTAACTGAATATACCTACTCGTATTTGACACGATTAAACATCATATCATGTAATGGTATAATGGTTCAGCGGTCGGTAATTTATATCTTTTTGAATGATTGAAATTTATTGTTGAATATTATAAAAGTCAATATTCACATATATTTTACCTAGCTTCACAATGTTGGTATAATTAATTTAGTGTTTAAATTTAATTCGAAAAATCTAATCACTAAACCCCTTCGTCGCTATCATTAGATCACTTTAAATTTACTAAAGTGCTCTTTTCTATAACTCTATAAATAAAGAATTCTAAACAATTGGTCAATATTTGCAAATATGAGTGGACAGCTCGATTGTTTTAGAACCCGAGTTTTAAATAAAATATTATTTGTTCCGCTCAAATGAGTTTTACAATTTATCATAGACTCCAGGGTTATTTTAGATTCTGAGCGAAGCGAGGAATTGTATTTTAAACATATTTTTATAGTGTATTTTGATAGTTTTAAGCGAAAAACTGCATGTATATGTAACAGGTTTTTAAGATGTATAATCTGGTTATACTCTGGTTACATTATCTCAAATAAAAATTATCTTTGTTATCTACGAATAAAAATATTCAGAGCTATTATTGTTATTACTTTTCTAACTCGGCAAAATAAAATGAAATATATTTTAGGAACTAATTGTAATATTCGTTGTTTTCGTACATAGTACCAACGAGATCATCAAACGTAATTGTATAGTAACTGATCACGGAAAATAATAATAATAATAATTTATAAACTGTAAACTATGTCGGGGTCTCTTGATCGATCCGACATGCATTCATTTATCAAGGACCCCGTTTTCACGTCATGCGTGCGCTATACTGAAATATTTATAAATTGTGTGTTAAATTACTTGTATTAGTTATAGACGTTATATGTAATAATAATAACAAAAAATAGCTGAAATTACATACGGTCACACATCGGCATCACTGTTGTAGGTGGAAAGTGGGAAGTAACTAAACATTTTACAATTTTCTTACGATTTACAATAGCTTTATTTTTATTTTTATTTATTGTGTTATTAAATTATTATATAAGTTTTATGTTAGTTATTTGTGTATAATTGATGTTTATTTTCTTATAATCAGCATAAACCACAAGAAAGATATACGATACCCCATGTAAGACACCGGAAGTTATATAGTATACTCTCAAAACAAATTTATGAGAACACCATTATATTATTTATGTATATGCAATGTATACCATACATAACAGACACAATACAGTGCAACGGTCTTTACTTTCGAGAAAAATTCGACAAAAACTACTACAATAAAATGTGATAACACTATAATAGAGATCTATATAATATAATTCATTTATCCGCACTGCTCGGGACCCCAAACCATTATCGTTACTTTTTAGACGATAAAAAAAACACACACACATACACACACACACTGCACGTGACACGTATACATACTCGGGGGCATATGGCACATCGTATACCTATACAATATAATTCTTGATTTTGTACTAGAGCGTGAGCTTATCATAATTCATAATACGAGAAGAGGTTACACACGGCCGCGTACGTCGCATTATTGTCGTGTACCGTTGGGCGGCTGCTTCTGCGGTCCTTTCTTCGTTTCTCCCGATTTTATTTCGTCGAGGATCATCTCGCGCCGTCTACGTCTGGCGCGTGGCAGATGTTCCGGTCTCTGTACACACGATACATTAACGACGACTCCCATACCTCCGGTGCACCTGGAAACCAGGAATTTCATTTTTCATTCATTATACATCGGGCGCGTGTGTATCGCCCAAAATACAGACGCGTGTTCGATTATAGTATAATAATAATAATAGTATTTTATTTTTTGTGACCGTTTGTCTGTGTATATACATACACGGACTTTTGTTAGATGTGTTTATTGCCTGTACGAGTCCTTCCCTGTGTATACGTACCACCCGTGGTCCGTTTCGAGTATTATTTGGTTAACCGAGGCGGTTTACGACGAAGTACCACCCCGTCAGACGTTAACCGAATTCGGTGGCATGTAAATACGCAACCCGTCGTGGGTTTTAATTTACCTAGGTTTTTGGTTTTCATTTAGGCAACTAGATTCTTTGGAGTCTTATCAAATTTATGCTAACAAATAAATTATGTGTTTTGTATAAAATTCCTAATAAGACACCCTACAAGCCCTAGAACTAACTCCTGCAACTAACTCGATTACATTTCGGTTTGATCCGAACTCTGATAGAGTTTGTAAATACGCCCCGCGGACATTAATACACAGCGTTTGGGTCGTCAGTCGTTACAGACACGTGCTTTCGATGTACCAGGTGGTGGCGATCTTGACTAAGGTAATATTGAACAAGAAACCTATTAACTTTGCAGATTTTCTACGCCCAAATAGTGATTTAAAAATATTTTTTTGGGGACAATGGCCACGTAATGGCAAATACACATATATTAATATTTAGAGCTTAATGATATAAAGGTGTACTAAATACATTTCTCAAGCTACTTACAATAATTTATAATAGATAATTTATTATAGAGACTCAGAGTGGAATTATTAAAACGTTTTTCCTTTAAGTTTAATGAACTTTGTGGTACTAGTTTCACGATAATATCTGCATGTGAGGGAATGAATGTGAATTTATTTTTTGACAGAGTGATCCATTTTATCACAAAACAGCGATTTTCTCGGTGGATTTTTAATAAATTTGATTTCTGTTTTTTTTTTCAATTATTATGATATAATTTAGGTTTTATTTTAAAAGTTTTCAAATAGTTTACTTCTAAATTCTAATCCTTATACCTTAAACGAGTATATAAACTTTCAAACAGGAACTAACAAAAAATGAAGGGAGGTCTCTTCATTCAAAACACCGATTTGAAATGGAGAATATTTGTCTAAAGATGTCGATACGCATAACATTAATACTGAATTTGCCATTTGTAAATTATTTCAGTATTTTAATAATTAACAATTTAAAATTTAGACCGGAAGCGTAAAAAAGGGTAACAAACTTCGTAATCGTTTTTACATGACAAATTGATAACTGTTTGAAAACAGTGTTTTGATAACAACTACTTATCTTAATTACTTGTTAAACATAAGATGTAGGACGTAGGTAACGGAAAAAAGACAAATCTCACATGACCTGAAATGTTTACGTCAATTAACAAGGTTTTATAAACTTGGATGTTTTTTAACATTGCAAATTAAAATGTATTTCATAATAAGGTACATAATTTAAACGGCTATACGTATACGATTACAAATCAAATTAACCTATTCGTTTATGAATGCTTAATATATAGCTTCGTACATTATACTTTCACTATGGTTTATTATGGTTTATAGAGTTAATTCCATTAAAAATTATGATTTAATTCATTTTCTAACCAAATTATAAATACAGAGACATTTATGCATTTTTAATTTAAAGATTTCTGTAGTAACATTTTTAATGCGTTTTCTTATTCATTTTTATTTCACAATTCTATTATTCCTATTAATAACCTTGTTATACCCTATATTAACAAGCAAACACATAATAATTTATAGGTACCTACCTACCTAATATAATACATATTTTCATTATGAAAATGAAACTAACAGACTGGAATGAAATTAATATTATAAGATCGCGCCTACAGATTTATCATAGTTACTCAGATAGAACTTGGCATAATCCACTCGTATATAATATATTTTTCCAACAGACCATGCACTAGAACTTAGTAGTGCGTTTCTCCACATCTTTGCGTGTACCTAACTATATTCATATGTTTTTTTCTTTTATAATGATTATGATGAAATTTTATATTCAAGGTGTCTTAAATATCAACCAAAATTATAGGTATACATAATTAAGGTTACAAAATTAAAAAATATAATATATTTGAAATCATAATACTACTTCATAGACATTATTATAATATTATCGTGGAATTAATATAATTTTCTAAAATGTTGAATATCTAAAATACATTTTAGATTCAGGGTACAATGAAAAAAAATTTAATTCTTATCTCGGAAAAAACATTTTAGGTTAGTTAGTAAAAATTATCCGATATTTCCATGATGTACCTTAAAAGATACAATTTTTTTGCCTGATCGTACTTTATTTGGAATAAAAATGTTCAGATTACCAAAAGATCATCTGTAAAATTTAAAAACTGACAACAAATAATATTGATACATCGGTTTTATTTTTGTTGGTTTTTGAGTTATCTTGACTTTAAGGGAAAAATATGACTAACACTCTACTGATACTATTTCGAAAATTGACTTTTTTAAGCCACCACAATGACAAAATTTGCTTTAAAAAAAAAAATGCTACAATTGAAAACTGGAGCGATATTTCTGGTGAAAACGTTTTTAACAAACAAATAAACTGCTGACAGGTGTGTGGTGTGTCACAGTTGTGAATGGGAAGTTAAAAAGATAGGATAAAGTAGATAGGAACTCTGTAGATATTTAATTTAAATATGTGTGCAATGATTAACCAATGCTAACGAAAAACGATTCTTAGCGAAGTTTGTTTATACATGATTTGTAAATTCCGTGATCTTGCGATTTTCTTCAAAATTTTGATCTTAAAACGTTTATTAAAAAAACTATTAGATCACATTCAACTTTTTTTACAATCAAATTTACTATAACGAATAACGTAGGCACCTACGTTATTTTTATCTTATATTCTTCTGATGGTTCTATTTATCCATGGTTTTATATATAAAGCAGGGTCCAAGGGGTCCAAACCCTAAGACTTCCATTAAGCCCACGGACCTACTTGATTACGCTACTATTATTAACGAATTAACGATATTTTAACTTTTATAACGAGACGAAACTTTATTTTATATCCGTATCATTTGAATTAGTAGACAACTAAAAGTGATAGTTTTCACTGTTTCTAATTTATAAAAAAGTTTTCAAATTTTCGAGTTTATGAATTAATATGAGATGAGAAAAATGTACGAATATTAACTGGTAGTATCTTTTATTATCATTTAATTTAAGTATTTGTAGTACAAACGTTTATATTTATTGAAGTGTAAAAACAAACTGTTCTTGTTTTTACTCGTAACTTGTTATAAACGTCCACATAAAAAGTTAAAACCATACTCTTGAAATTGCAATGATTATCAATCATCATACCTAATATAATAAGTGAAATAAAAATTATTCTAGAGTACCTACTGTAACTGATTTATAGTTTTACCTATTTTATATTCATCCTTCTACCGTGGACGCAACCGTACGGTTTATATCGTTAATTTCATTCCGTCCGTTACGCGACCAAGGTGATTTAATTGAAAAAGTACCGTTTAACTATTTGTTCTACTTCCCGATTTCGGTCCCCTTCATTATTGTTAGCTTACGTTTTCGAAAAACACCCACATATAGTGCAAGATTTAAAATTAAAATGGTGCATTATTCGTTGAAAATAAAAAGTTGAACGTCAATATTTTTACAAGATTAAACTCTAAAGAATAACCGAAATCTTCGAATTTTTCGAAAATATCACAATAAAATATATTATGAAATTGTTTATTAAACCATATAAATTTAGTTGAATTATGCATATTCATAATCATTATCCCTGTGAGATATATATAAAAAAAAAGATACCGAACTTGATTACCTTCATTATGTCAGGAGACATTGTATAATGAGTATACCTTCGTGATGAGAGACCCTGTATTGAATGTATATAAGATTTTCTTTTTAAAACCTTGCTATTATATTTACAAATCATCAATTACGATAGATCTCTCAAATCGACTTGATGAATTATTCTTATGGTTCGCAAGCAGCTAATGAGCCCACGAAAACAAAATATATCCTATATATATATATATTAAAAAGTTTCCTTAACGACGATTTTATCTTATTTTATGTACACTTTTTTACAACACAAAAGATATGTATTATAAATTATAATATATAACACTTGATTTTAAAACCATGGATAATGAAATACAAATATTTAACACAAGAAATATATTTTAAAATATTTATGTAAAAACAATATTTGTTAAACAAATATAATAGTTTCTGATAAGATACTTTTAGTCTTAATAAAACATAATAAATTTAAAAAAAATTTCTTATAGAAACGTTTCATTTGCAAGCTTGAAGATAAACTCTGCAAACATTTTGATTTACGTCCCACGCCTGAATATTAACTTTTACTGCACGCTCTTGTTAGTATAAAAAATAAATATAATAAAACATGACAAATATTCCGTCAAAATCTGGAATCATTTTATCAAAAACCATATATATAAAGCGGGATCATATAATTTAAAATAATTATAGTACCGTTAGACAGATGGAATTTAAAATCAAATATTTCGGGAAAAATAAAAAAAAATGTGTGCAGTGGTAAACTCCGAAATTTACAATCATTTGTATTAACTTACAATAAACATACTGTATACAGTTAATTAAAATAAAGTTTTTACAGATATTATTGCGCAATATTAACATTGCACAATACTTGTGTAAAGTAAAAAATAAAAACTTAACTAAAAATTAACAAGGTACACGAGTATTCACAAAATTAACCTAGAGTTAATAATATGTAAATATTGCAAAACTATATGGACTAAGTCTAGGGCTACAAAGTCAACATCCTATTATATCTATCATATAACATTTTTATCGTAGTGGAATGCTGCACTCCAGTTTGTATGAGAAATTCTCACTGCAACGAGGTAGCCGTTCAGCTCAATCAAGCCATGAGAATTGTTTCTGGTACAAGTAGAAGCAAACTAACGCAATTGTTACTAATAATTCTGTCAAACGTATATTCCCGTAAGAAATTCGCAAGAAAATAGCATCTTTAACCTAAGTATATTCATATTTATATTATAAACGCGAATGTGTGTTTGTTTTTTTTTTTTATGTGTTTCGAGTCACAATAAATTAACATATGGACTTAATTAATGCTTAGGGATAGTCGGACGACTGGAAAGTGACATGGAATATTTTTCACTCAGAAAATATGCTCCTTAATGGGTGACTGATTAAGGGTTTTTGGCATTAATGGAACGAAAATCGAATTATTTTGTGTTGATTTATAGGTTACTTTGGTGACACGGGTAAAAAATCCCGTTAATATTAGTTAATTTAGTTGTCATGGACAAAGAAGTACCATTTTAAAAAATAAATAAATTAAGGGTTAACTGTTTGCGCAGTACGGAGTGGTAACGGCGAGACATGTTTTTATGACATAGTTGTACATATTAGGAATTATTAAAATGCGGGAAATAAAAATAATTTCTACTTTAGATGTTACAGTTAAGAATTGACGTCCGTGAAGTTGGCAACCCACTTGAAGCTATCGACTTCAAATCAATGTCAATATTTTACAATGCCAATACATTTTGAAATTTGCAACACCACCGGGTTCCGAAAAATGTGATTCTTTGTTGGCAGTAATATGCTGTTGCTATAAGTGGCGTTTTTCGATATTACGATATGTTCCCTGAAAGCCAAATGTATTTCTCATATAGTCGGTTATATGTTGGCTGTTCGAGAGTTTCAAGTACTCAAAATTTGAATGTATACTAATGGGAAATAACAAATCATACGTCATTGTCGTCTACAGATCTATATTGCAATAAATAAATTCTTCCTATCCACTTCGGTGTAGTAAACACTTATATATTGTTTTGTATATTTCTTCGGTCAATACTGGGTGAGAAAAATCTCGACTAAATTTATGTGGATTCAGTTGATAACTTTTTCGGCAAACAAAAATTTAAGAAAAAAAATTATATTTCCTAATCGTCTAAATATGTACACTGTACACAGTACACAGCATACACACGACACACTAAACTGTACACACACGTAAACTGCACACGGGCAAATCCGGATAATATAGCTGGTATGTAATTAAAATATCATATATTATGTATTAATTATAATTTATAACTATGAAGTTGGTGTAAACAAATATATACAAATACATTACTTAGTTACTATTCGTAGTAGGTCTATAGGAAACCCACGATAATTACAGAAAAATGTCAGATTTTTACGTTAAAAACGCATCTCATATCGAAGACCCGAACCCAAAAACTGCACCTGGACTAGATCTTGCCAACCATTATATGGGCAACGATAAGTACCGTCCAACTGTCTAGGGCAATTAATATATTATCTACCTGTTGTTCAAATAATTTTAAATTTAATAACAAATTATAACCATATTTATTTCAGGATAAAACATTTGTTCCCTGGCAATGTACACTGTGTAGTGTTTACATGCTCGTCAGTCGGATTATTTGTAGAGCTAAGAGCTAGAGTAGTATTATTTTTCACATATCTGAACTGGATACCTACGTATTCACATGAACGCTGATAGTAAATTCACGGGTATTATAAGTGTACTTATTTTTCCCCTTCGCCTTCGCTAACCCCCTTTGGGCTAGTCCTGCGCAATATACTGGGTGATCAATCTATCATAAGACAGTCATTGTTTCGGAAAGTGTTAATTTTTTTTGACATTATTTTATTGAATATTTTATAAACAAGCAGTTTTGCAATTTTACGTTTATGTTATTTTTTGTTACCTTGGTTATTATCTAATTTTGGTTTTTAAACGATAACTTATATTAAAAATTTCATAAATAGATGGAGTTGTTATTAAAATAAATGTTGGTGTTTAAATTATCAATTTTCGTCAATTCGTTGACGAGATATTCCACTTTTAAGTTTGGTTCAGGGAAGAGTGGTACATTCTTAAAACGCCGTGCGCTGTACCACCACACGCATGATGCTCTACTACTCTCCCCCGACACTAACTTAAAAGTGGAATATCTCGTCTACGGATTGACGGAAATTCCAAATTTAAACACCAAAATTTATTTTAACTACAACTCCATTTATTTATGGAACTTTTATTACAGGTTGCCATTTGAAAATACAAAAGTAGATGGTCGTTTCAACCACAAAAATTGGAGCGACAAAAACGAACGTAGATGTTAAATTTTAGAACAGTTTGTTTCTTAAATGTTCTTTAGAACAAATTTCGAAAACAACGAACACTTTCCGAGGTAATGACCGTGTCTTACGATAGATTGATCACCCCTAGTATGCCTTCTAAGCGCATACAAACTTTTCATTTACGTGCCCACGAACTCCCGTATTCACGTCTCTTATCGTACGTTTTCAATCGAGACCACTATAGTTTTTAGGTACCTATAATATTCGGAACTGCCGCAAGCAATAAACGAGTCGTTGCCGCCGTCAAGTAATTATTTTTCTGTGTTACGGCTCGTAGTATCCATAGCCACAGCCAGCACGTTCTACGCTGTGTGCAGCGTACGTTATTATACCGCAGGTTAATGATAATGATAATTATTATTTGATAAATCGTTATTATTGTCATCGAGTGCACGCGGAGAGTTCGCCGCCGCGCCGGATGGTATTTTATTGCGCACACGTGCTATACGCGAGTGCGCGGCGCGTGTCGATCGCGTACCGTACATAATAATACGAACGTTATTGTAAACGTTAAAACCGAGATAATAACGTCGTCGCCGTCGTCGTCTGCGTCCTCTGTATCGAGTTGTTGTTATTATTATTATTATTGTTTTTTTCCCCGTTTTTTTTTTTTATAATATTTTCACGAGAACACGCTGTCGCGGAGACCAGTTACGCGCCGAACATAATATTTAATCCACGCCACGCCGCCCAGCTGCCGTCCGCCTTCCCCCGTTCCCCGTACAATCGATTAACGACATAAAGTTCGGTAAACCTCTTCGGTTCTTCGGCGACGTTGTTTAAGTGCTTGCCCACCACTGGAAAACGTGCGTAATTGGCACATACTGATAGTTCGGTACGTAAGTATACCTGTACTGTGATCTTACATATTATTACACAACGCACGATCGCGATAAACGACCCCAACTGCAATGGCGACGTACCAATACGCAATATTATTGCGTACCTATACGAATAAAAATGTTCACGCGACATTGTAATGGACATTTTTTGTTGTTTTTCATTCTCGTTATATTGCTCAATAATCATCATTGTGTCCGGGCATCTAATACGTTCGGTTACACACCCACGATGCTTAGCTTTTCCCGTGAAGAATATTATAACGAGTCTACGTTGTTTTCGCGTTTAAACTGATCAAATAACGACGTTCGTATATATATACGAACTAATACATTCGAGATTTTCGTTCTGACTGAATAATATTGAAAAATCTCGAAAAACGCGAAGCACAATTTATGTTCGCTATAGGTATTTCGCATTTAACGTCCAAACATAACCAAACATTTCATTCAGTATAATGTCACAAAATTTAAATTTTGATTTATTTTTAAATTTGTTTAGTTGTTTGGATTCACTACAGTTGTAATGATGATTTTCGATTCTGCGAGTAACAAGAAATTAGGTTTGATTTTAACAATCACGTGTGCTTTCTTTATTTTTTCTGTATGTGAACTATGTTTCTACCAGAAATCTTGCTTCAATCAAAAAATGACAAATGATCTTTTTTGTTACCTTTTCGATCTGGTAGGTAAATTATGAAAGTCATTTTTTTTTTTTTATTATAACTTTCATAATAACTGGGAAAAACCGAAAAAAAAAACGTAAAAGAAAAACTTACAAATTTACCGTAATAAAAGTTTCATTATTTTCGATTTTTCTTTAAATTTTATTTATCTAACAAAAATCGTATTTGTTAACGTTTTATAGACTTTTAAAAATATTGGCTATTTTACCGGTTGTTCCTTTATTATTTCAACACTCCCCCCATGGAATTTCCTGGCAACGCGACTATAAAAATACTTTAATTTTATTAATTATATATTCCAATTAAAAAGTCAATATGGTAATTTCCGGTGAAATGTTTACAAATTATGAGTTTGAATCCAAGTATAATACATTATGTTTTAATAATAATTATAGAGTAGCGTAGAAAACCATTTAAACTGTTTAAGTGTTACTTAAACGGTTTTCTATGAAAGAACATCCAATATACCTTTATAATAGTTCTAAATTAGTTTTTGGTAACAACACGACTTGTAGAAATTTATCTTCTTCTTCTCTTTTGCCTTCATCTCAATTTTTTGAGGTCAGCCAATCTCGTTTAAACTTCAACTTAACCCGATCTCACATACACAGTGGCTGGCCACGTATATCATTCTAAACTGCATCCAACCACCTCTTTTTCAGTCTTCCTCACCACCTCTTTCCTCCTACGTTTATTTTTATTACAATACTAACTGCTTCAGATTCTTCTCTCTTCATAATATGCCCAAATTATCACAGTATATTTTTTCCCATTTCGCCTACGGGGAATGGTTTAAAGCATACATGATATACATAAAAGCGAGAGACTTTAACCCCACACCCCTCTTTGAGGTTCCTAATACTTCCTATTATAAAGGAACTCAAAGCTATACAATTCTTATTGAATTTCAACCAAAATGTTATCACTTCAATCCAATTTTAAAAAAAATCTCCCAAATTTGAGCTCTTTTGGTCCAGACGTAGCCCTTATAAAAGTGTCCAAATTTACGGGGAAAAATATATATATATATAACAGATATAACACAATACAATAGACTCTATTTTCAGGGGAAAAAAGCGAAGGAGGATCTATCCCCCAAATCCACTCGCGTAAATACGCCGCTGGACGATAAGCGTTTTCGATATTATATTATTTATTATAATTCACATGTTGTATTGCAGCGGTCGACGACGGACTCATGGAACAAAACAGATGTATACGAGTCGTCATGTATAGGTGTAATTTTGTGGGCGTGTGAAAATGTTCAAATAATCGAAACGGTCTTTATTGTATTTATACACGAACGGTTTATGCAGGCTGAATAATTTTATTTTCACCCTTTAACCACGACAGATGTTTAATGTGAATTCTATATGGCCGAGCGTATAACTGCTAATAGTCTGCTGGAGTTGATGTTTGCGTGTGGCATACCCAAATAATCTAAATTTTATACGATTAACATGAAATTCATACAGAATAATTCAATATTTTTTCCTATTAGAAAAACTTATAACGGACATAAGTGACGTAACAATATCGACGCGCAATGGTGATAGTTTGTCACGCACTTCAGAACTACCCCATTTTTAAACACGTAAATCATAACGTGCATATGTTATTAAAAGTTTTAACCGTCAGCACTGGGCGATTAATTGATTGAGCGATATATATATGATCGATAGTATAGAATATAGATAGTATTGACGTTTAGAAGAAAAAAAAACAAATCCTCGATAATGGGATAATTAAAATGTACTGTAGTGTTGGTGCATTCGTTATTAACGATTAATCGAGTATTTTAATAGTATTTATAACATCGATTACATTAATAATAGTGATAACATTAACAAAATGTTTTAATTTTTTTTTGTACGTTTGTTAACAATGGATTTTTAATATTTTTTTTACAATTGAACCGCATTACTACCTAACGATACATACTCGAACAAAACAACAAAACAAAAAAAGACGGCCTATGATAATGGGGACGGATGCAGATACTGTATCCGCTCATTGCTTACGGCAAAATGATTCTGAGTGAAGTTCAGTTGATAGTGATGTTTTGTCAACAATATATATGTCATTTTATAGTAAAATAATTAAATAGACTTTATATATTTTCTATAATAATATTTGTTAAATGTTTTACTGATTTTCCCAATTTTCCTACGTTTTTCCCGGTTTTTTACATTTGCTGCGAAAACTCCTGAAAACTCGAAAAATTACCTACTTAAAGTACCTCCCCACACCGATTCCCTTTCAGAAAACGTGCTACACACCTAGAAATCCGAGCAAGTCTTCTGGTAGAAAAATTGTTAACAGATAAAAAAAAAAAAAATCTTTGTAAAACAATAAGCTTCTTCGCTCCACTCAGAATCTAAAACGTATTTAAATAGTGATACAGACTGTTTCTTTTTAAGTTATGTTAACATGTTTTGAAATGTGATTTTTACGATTTTCGTCGAAATTTGAACTTAAATGTTTTATAAAAACATACATCACGTTCAACTTTTAATTACCACCAAGTAAAACTCATGATGAACCTCGAGTTTCAGTGTATCTTCATGAATTTTCAAACATTTTGGCTGAACCAAAAAAATTATATTTACATAAATCAAAAAATAGTAAGTATATAGGTACGCGGTATGAAAATGTTCATTAAAATTTTAACTTATAACGCTTACAAAAAAAAAAAACTTCGATACGCTTAACTTATTTTTTTTTGCTCACTATATCTATAAATACGATTTATGACGAACATCGTGTTCAATTTTCAAGTATTTCTGGTGGGCCAAAACAATTTTATTCACAAAAAAATCAAACAAAAACTGAAAAAACTCGATAATGTCAAATGCCTATATAGGTGTAGTTTGAATAACTCAAAATGCCCTATAGTTTACAATAAGTGTACGAACGTATTTACAGGTATGCCAGCATTTATATTTGCGTGTACATCATAAGACTGCGTATACTACCTAGATAGATAGATATACGTGTATATCGGTTATTTTTTCGTTTGTGCACGTTTATACACGCCGCCGCCGCCGCCGCTGCCGGTCGCGGCAAAAACGGAGGAAAAAAACGTTCGTGATGATCAAGATGTTCTCACGCGCATTTTTGAGTGGAAAAAGAAAAAGAAAAAAAAAATTATGTAAAAAAAAAAAAAAAAAATGATATACATGCATATTATCGTATACACGAGTTAAATATAATATAAAATAATCTACTTATATATATACCTACTTACTTGCGAGTTACGGCGATTCATCGTTTACCGACGGCGGCGGCACGTCCCATTTTAACAGTACAGCACTTGACCGGTAAACAAAAGCGCGCGTGTTGTGTGTGCACACGGCGGACAAAATATAATATTTGTTGTGTATATATTGTGTACTCAACAAAGCGTGACCGTAAACAATACGAGATTTTTTTTTAAAACGTCCGCGAAATTAACGACGTTTTAAAACGGGCCGATTTTCGACCGTATAATATATAATAATGCCTACACAATAATTATAATATAATACAACAATAACGTGCAACGATAACACCGCTCTATAATAAATGTATTTATATACGTATATATTTCATCGGAAAATCAATTGAAAACTACAACGGTATCATTATCATGATAATAGTATAAATTGTATAATATTATCTATATTCTTATTGTCAAGCGGATCGGTCGACCCGCAACCCGAACTATAAAACGAGCATAACAAACGCGCCACAACACTGCTTATATTATCCTGTGATCGATTAAATGGGATCAAACGGCGATTATGCGGTATAGTAGCTGGAACGGATATAAATGAGACAATAGCGAACGTTCTGCGTTCTTCCTAACCGATGTTCTATGGTTACGCACGTGTCGGTTAGACGAATTTTTCAAAAAAAAAATTCTTAATCCGAGATAGTAAGGCAAACTACTCAGTCAATGGCGATACAATTTTCGGGACAGCTTCTTTTTGTAATTTGCTTTTGGAAACGAAAACAATAAGGTCGATCAAAATTTCAAATTGCACCCTAATATTCCCCCTACACCTATCCCTAAAATATGTAAAAAGGTCTTAAGATACAAATGGCACTAACAATATGCATGCCAAATTTCAACTCATTCCGCCAATTAAAAGAGTCTGAAGGGCGATAAATGTTACTAAGGAGAATTTTACCTGTTACCTTTGTACACTTATTTTGCCACGAAATCGCTATCAAATGCTTGGCAACTGTTTTTGGAAGTTTTACAACTGTTTTTAAAATCATTCCCCCTCCCCCTGAGCCTTTTACCGGAGTATTCATACTGGAGGGTAAAATCCTATGATCGTGGGTGATTTCATGGCAAAAAATCAGGTAGGAATAAGTAAAAGTAAGGACAAAATAAGAAAGTTTTAAGAAATGGAAGAAGGGGAATTTAGAAAATCAAACGATTTGCAAATGTTTGTATCAATAGATTTTCCGGACAGCATTTTTACATAGTATTTTTTTTTAACTTGGCCTTTCTTTACAGTAAAATACCTGTGTAAAAGTGCTCCTATAATGCTGCGGGTGGGAGGGAGGATAGCGATTTACTATAAATTTATTTCTATTATTTATTTACATATACCTATAAAATTATAAAATTCTATCTGAATAATCCAGCTTTACCCGTGTGCAGTTTTTTTATGTTACCTACAACTTTTATTTATCAGTCTTTATATTAGTTATAGAAAAAGAATAATCGTGTTGAAAGTGCTAGCTGTCCCCTGTCCGGCGTTGCCTGTGCCATTTTTTTAAAATTTTTTTTACCTTTATTCTTGTTTTGCTTAGAATATTAGACGGAAAAAAAATAACTGGATATTAAGTAGTCCTACAGCGGATTGTGTCATAATATGTTATTTGCTGGCTTTGTTGCTAGATTCGTGTCTCCAAGGTAAATGAATAAAAAACATTTAAAATCTTATAATAATAATATCGTTTTTCACTACGAAGAATTTTAAGGGTGAAGGGGTTGAGTATTAAAACTCTCTTAAAGCCTATAACCTTCCCGGAAAAATGTTGATCAAAAAGCTTCACCACAATCGGTTTAGGAAGCCATAAGAAACATACAGACAAACGTTCATTTTTATATAATATAGCTGTTCCGACAATGCTTCGCTATTGCTAGATTTTATTATAATTATTATTATTTTGTAGCTGAATTAACAAAGAATATTCAGTGGATACCATAGATACCACATAATCAAAAAAAAAAAATTTACTTTGTTACAAAGGTAACCCAAAAAATATCAAAATCTCTGTCATCTATCCTTTAGGAGTTGAATTTTAGAAATTTCAATAGCTATTAACCTTCTCCAGATTACGCGGACCATTTTTCGAAAAACCCCGTTAAAATCTGTCCAATAGTTTCTGATTCTAAAAAAGGACAGACACACAGACATTGTTTTTTATATAATAATCTGTCATATTAAAAATAACTGTAAGAACTATTTAATGATTGAAGTTTTACAATTAATTGATCAATTCAGTTTTTATACAAACACACGCGGTTGTCCATGACAGCCAAATTAACCAAGGTAACCTACGAATAAACAAAAATTAATAAATAAACAATTTTAGATATTCGGGCCAAAAATACCTGAAAACCCCTATTTCACCTCTTAGGGGTTGAATTTTCAAAAATCCTTTCTCAGCGGATACCTTCGTCATCATAACTATATGCATACTAAATTTCAGCCCAATCCGTCCAGTAGAATTTGGGCTAGGCGTTGATGAGTGAATGAGTGTATCGGACGTCTTACTTTATATAATATATAGATGATAAAATGATGAAAAAAACTGAAAACCCGTCAGCGGTAGCGGTAAAATTCGGTCATGCAGCAATTTTTATAAAAACCGCGACACGATATTTTACCGCGGCCGTTTTACCGCTGCAGTGTGTGAAGAACTCCAATTAGAATACAAGAGTTCTATTAAACCGCTACCGGCAACGCTACCGAGGCAGTAAATGGGCACCTTTATATATTATACGTACTATCCCGAAAATTCTTGCTCGTACACAGAATTTTTTTCGTATGGCCAAGGAAACCTTGAAACTGACAAAAAAACCTTAACAATTTTAAATTACAAAACCAAAAATCAAGTGTGCACTGTTTTACAGCAAGTAATAGTATCACCGTTTGGGAATTGAATCTCGAAATAATAAAAATAGTCCAAAATGATCTCCGTGAACACTGAAAATCCATTACGAAAAATCAGAATGATTATCGTAAAATAGTCTTTGCGTAATGCACCGCACACATGCACACACACAAAACTCTATGATTAATCTTCTACTACACTGTATGGATTCTTTATTTCTTTATTATTATACTATAAGTATATTATTCTTTCCTCGCGATCGAGACGTGACCAAACTATAGATCTGAGTTTATTGTACATAATATTAAACGCGCCGTTTGTATGATTAATAATGCTGTATTAAATACGAAGGTGTATTATATTATATTATACTTCCGGAAATGGTTCCGGCGGTAGTTTACTCGTATACTATAATTTAATAGCGGTAAAAACGGAATTCATTACAACCGATATTATAATTTGAATTATAACTGTTTATATTTTTATGCATATCTTGGACTTACTCGATAGTAAAGAAATTGGTTTTAAATTGGCAACTACGTCACGTTCAACTTTTTATTACCACCAAGTAAAACTAATGATAAACCTCAAACTCTTCAGTTTACTAGTGTATTTTAAAACATTTACTGGGCCAAAACAATTATGTTAACATAAATCGAAAAATAGAATAAGTATGCAAAATGACAATTTTCGTTAAAATTTGAACTTTAACGCTTATAAACAATTTTGATACGTTCAACTTGTTTTTTCGATCATTACCTAAATAAAATTATTTTTTTTGATTTATTAGAAAAAAATTATATTTATAATCAGTTATATTTGTATACACAATAAGTAAATTTGAAAACTTAACTAGATATTTACAATACGAGGTGACGTGAGGCCCACCTACAGTGTGGAAACCCAATAACTTGGGAAAATGTAATTTATGACGGCCCTAGTGTTTAGTTTTCAAACATTTCCAGTAGGTCAAAACAATTTTATTCACATAAAACCAAACAAAAACTTAAAAACTTCGATAATGTCAAATGCCTATGGAGATAGCTTAAAAATTGCTAAAAATTACATCGCGTTTAGAAAGTGCTAATACATTTGGCAAACACGTCAAGACTGTACGCGGTGAATTCTAACCGAGTTGCGAGAAAAACACAAAATCGAAAATAACAGAATCCGTTATGCATCGATGTTGCGGTTCCATACCCAATTATTAAAAAAAAACTAAAAGGAAATTCGAAAAATACATTTTCAATGCACCGACCATAGACGAAATGTGTTGCCCCGGAAGTTTAAGACCGGAGCGAAATTCCGATAGAAAAGTTGTTTTGCAGACACAATAAGGATGAACAAAATCTACGTCATAGATATTGTAAAATCAATACGCTCCTCGTTACGCTCGGAATCTAAAAATAATGTTATTTAAAAATCTTTTGTGCGCCGTCAAATTATATACGTATCTGTGTGTCGACAATAATAGTAATATGACGCATACGCATACGGTACCTTTATACCCGTGGATGAAATGTCAAAAACGCGCGCGCGTTAAAAAACCGACCGCGAATTCTGTTATGGGAAAAGTGTCGGTAATTGATTTGTCAGGTGAATAATTTCGACGAGGATATCTCGCGGTACTCGGTCCGGCCAAACGAATACGTAGGTATGAAGACGAATATTTCGAAGAAAGCCGCCCCACCGCCACTGTAAATGACGTACGCGTATAATACTCGAGTATAATATGTTGCGATGATGATGGAGTGCGACAAAAAACGTGAAATATTTTCCGCCGACACACCGATCACACCGATCGTCGGCATTTCGTATTTTCGCTATCAGATCCGGTCGGTATTATACGTCATATTATTACAGCCCATATGTTACTTGCGCTTTAATATAATAATAATATCAATATTACTACTATTACTATTATTATTATTATTATTATTATTCCCGGTGGTATCTGTGTACGCATGACACATCAGCTGTGGCGGCGGATGTAAGCTACGCATAATATTATTCTATAACCAATATGCGTGTTGTATACAGGATGATCAATCGGGCTGCAGATATTTATACGCACTGAAAACTTTTAAACGCACATATTGCATGCAAATATGCACTATAAAAATACCAAAACAATAAAAAATTATCGAATTCGTGTTGGATTCGTGTTTTTAAAAATGTACGAAATCCGAAAATATGCCCATATGCGTATCCGAATACGCCAAAATATACAAATTAAAAAATTGTATTTAGAATCGTTAGGTCATGGAAAACATTTTGGTATAAACCGGTTAATTTTAAACAAAATATCTGCCCTGATTATTAACGAGACTCATTATCTCGGAAACTATTAACATTTTTCGAAATTTGTTTTTCAAATAATTGAAAAATAAGCAGCTGTACAATGTCAGATTACCATTAATTTTTGCCACCCTTATGTTTGGTGGTTAATCGCTATATAGTATATACCCACTTTTGATTTTCAAATAACGGATTATATTACAAATTCTATAATTAGATAAAGTTTTAATTTAAATACTTTGGTGCTGACATTTCTAATTTCCATCACCCCGTGACGGTAATATTCCATTTTTAAGTTAATCGTTTTGTTTGTGGGGGAGAATATAGTTAAACATTATTTGTGTGGGATAGTCGTGCTCCCACTTCCTACTAAACAACAAATATAAAACTGGAATATTTCGTAAACGGGTCGACAGAAATTGGAAACATCCACACCAAAATGTATTTAAACTAAAATTTCATATATTTATAACATTTTTAACGTAGGCTTATTACTGCTTAAAAATTAAAAGTTGGAATTGGTTTCGTTCGCAAAAATAAGGGTGACAAAAAATAATGGAAATATAACTTTTTAAATGCACTTATGCCTGAAATTTCGTAAAAACTGAATTACGAAAAAATTTAATACTGCCAAAAATAATGAGTGTCTTAGTGTATCACGTTATGTTGATCGCCCTGTATACACACACGTCGTCATCGCAATTTGTTGTGAGGTATTATTTTACTGTAATACCGATACCCTAACCACCCATATTAAATGACGAAACCGCCAGCAATAAACGGAAAAGTGTACACGAATATTATTAACGCACTCGGAGTATTTCATTTGACTAATACTGCAAAGCCCGCTTGAATATAATTTTAGTGGTTTACTGAACGATCAGCAATTTTGGGCGGGTGGGTATGATAAAATTGTTAAACTTAACAGAAATGCTTGACAGTTTAATTGAGATTTATTATAAGTTGTAGTTCGTGGGCAACAAGAAAACTTTGAGATTATGTAGTATATTTTTTTAAATAAAAATTGTATTATGAAATTTTGAAGAAAATCGTTCATATACAGCCTTTTAAATCATGCATAATCGAACTCCGCTCAGAATCATTTTTCATTAGCAATGATTAATCGTTACGTACAGATATACATTAAATTCCTCTTTATATATCTTACCTTTCCAACTTCTCGCTTACAACAGTGGTCTATCAAAGTATGTCCATCCTTAAGATTCTGAACAGAGCGATGAATTTATTAGTTTTATAATAATGTTTAATTTTTTTTCTGTGAAAAATATTTCAAATTTTGGTCCGATTTTCAAGTTTAGCACTTTTTGTGAAAGGAAATCTGACTAGGGTGGTACTTTAGGAATATAATTTTTTGATTTTCTCTAGAAGTTTTATAATAAATGTAGGTAAAAACTTAGGTAAAACGGGAAAATTTACGAAATGTATTATTTTTAAACCGTAAATATTACTGTCTTTCACAACATGTATAATAATATAACTGAACTCCGTTCAGAATTGTTTTTTTATTATAAATGATTAATCGTTACGTACAGATATACATCAAGTTTCCCCTCTGTCTTACCAACTTCTCACCTACAACAGTGGCCCACCCATCGTGTGAAGTATATCCGTTTGTTTTTTTCTTATAAACAAAATTACTGTGTATAATAATTATATATTGTCGGCCCGGCCGGATGCCAGAATAAATCCCGGTGTCCTGGCCTAAAATGTATGTCTAAAGCCTGATTGAAAACCAGTATCAATAAAAATATTGTATTGTAAAAATAACCAGAACATAAGCACATCTAATCTTGAACCACGTATCAAATCATCGGGAATTTTTAAGTCATGAATAAGAATGTTATATTATATTACTTAAACTACCAAATAAAATATCTCAAGCCACCTCTGACTAGACAAAAATTTAACCGTAAAGTGTGTCAGGCATAGGGTTTTGTTGAATTATGGGTTACTTAGGTGACACAAATGAAAAATAAAGTTATTATTAGTTAATTCGGTTGTAGCAGGCAAAAAAATATCGTTTTTAAAAATAAATTACTAGGAATCAATGGTTAACTGTGATAGGGACGGGGGTTGGAAATGGGGGGGAGGTTCACTGAAAACACAGAGAAACTTGTTATTTTTGTTTTCGTTGGATATTGTGCACGGCAAGAGCCGTGCGGAACAGCTAGTAATAAATAATAATTAATACAGAGTTCTTGAGTTCAACACTTTTTTATTTTTCGAATAAAGCTAATATTTTTCATGAAAATGCAGTATAGTAAAAATGTTTATAGTTGAAAAATATTATCATAACTGGTGAATATATTATTACTAATAGATACCTATGATTGTCTATGATACCTAGGCTTCAAAATCAACTACCTATTATGGAGAGTCTAGGTAATAATAGCAATCGAAAAAAATTACCAGAGGAAAATATGGCCAAATACAAAAATGGTTATAGAAGAAATGTCTAATCAAATACACAAAATTTAATATTTGAAAAATGTTTTCTGAGTCCATATGCATTATTTTCCTTCTTTAGAGGAGTATATATAATTATTTAAAATTAAATATTTGTAATTATCGCCTATAGAAGTTTTGAACATAATTTATGATGGTAATAAAAAATGAAAATAATCGTAGGTAATCATAGCCGTTTTGCTTTTGGTCAATTTTTCCTTTGACCGCTTTTTTATGTGACCATATTTTCCCCTGAAGATTTTTAATTTGCCCATTATTACCGGCAGCGATTACACGCAGGTATAGGAATTCACATAAACAAAAACACGAGGCCCATTACGTGTTGGGTTTACCTAGCACCGACATAATCATGTGATGTGCAATTTCCGTGAAGTTTGTATCTTCGTTATTACAAATATATTACCCACATTATTATGCGGGTACCTAGATATATAATAACATGTATGATTGCTAAGAGTATACACCGACCACCACGTGAGACTTGTGTTGAACAGAAGTGCAGGTCACCGGTCTTTACACGACAATGTGCGGTATACTTACATACAGAGTGATCAACAGTATTAATTCGTAATTCATTTTTTTTGGAAATTTAAGAAGTAATGCAGCTCTTTAGTGTAAAATTATCGTTAGTTTCTTGTCACTCTTATTAATGTGAAGGGGGGAAGGTGAAACCACTAAACCTATTTTTGGTAATCAAATACCATTTTACAGAGTTACTATCGTTTCTTAAATTGTCTAAAAAACAAATTTAGAAAAAAGTTAAAACTTTCCGATATAATGGTTGTCTATAAGTGTCTTACATTATGTTGATCACCCTGTATATTATATTAAAATATAGGTACTATACCTGTACTCTGCAGTTATTCCGAAAATTCACGGTCTGGTAATTCGACATCTGCACACCCACAGGAAAACACTGTCGAGTTCTGTATTTTCATTAATCCTCTGCAATAACCTCCCGAGCAAGGAGGGACTACTTATTATTATTATTATCATCTAGGTATGTTATACCGTTTTCAATGGTTAGTTTACAGTATAAATAATAAATAAAACTATCGTACGAAAACGTCATTTTTCTAAAAATCTATTCGAATAAGACAGTAATATTAATCAGTGCGTAAACGTTAAAACATAATATTCTTTAGGATTTTATAATTTAATTTCGTAATCCTCTTGTGGAATCTATTGTAACGTGTACAAATTAATTAGTAAAAAAAAACGGTGAATGTTCGAGTGCACTGAACGAACAGAAATTATCCGGTCTGGTATAAATATTTTAGATTTTGAGCGTAGCGAGAAATGCAAATTGGTTTTGCTATGATGCGCGTTTAGAAACGACTTTACTACCTACAGAAATCTTAATTCCATCATAATTTTTAGGAAGATTTCTGGTACGT